ATTGTGACTGATTCAGGTAACCTGTGCAATTGGTACTATTTCCATCACACCAGTTGCACAGGTTACCTTGTATTACAGGTTTTAACAGATACTTTGATGGTAGCAAACGTTCCACTATAGTGGTTTTGTCCTATTGGGAGTTAGGTGTTAAATCATAACAACAGTATTTTTTAATGCAATAACGGGATGTTACCCTGACATTTTAAATGATACCACAATCTACTGTATCTTGTATGTAAATATTTTCATTAGACTTTCTTCACTACAGATTCTCTATATAAACTTTTTTCCTTGCAATGCTTTCTTAATTGACTATTTTGTACCAGCCAAGCCTTACACTTTTTCTTTTTATACTCTCCTGTATAAAAGGGAGGAAAGGGGTCCTGGACTGTGGCTGACTCACGGCCCACACATCCAGGTGGGGCTGAGGTTACAACAGAACTTCCTCCTGAGGGGAAGAGAGGTCCCTTGTCTCTTCGGTCCTTTTCTTCACTTTTTTTCTTGCTTTTGCTGGTTGCAGAAAGAGAGATACGCAAGCTCAGAATTTATTTTTAAAGCTACAGGCAAGGTGTCTGGCCGCCCTTGGTGCTTCCCTGAATGGTGGAAGGAGTGAGTACGAAGATGGTGAGCGGGCAGGCCCGGCAAACCGGAGAGAGAGAAGCAGGTTCTGCATCACCGCCGGGCAGAAGCGCTGCGCTGGGGCCTGGGCCTGAACACCAGCTCTGCCCCAGCAGGCGACAGGTGTCAGGATAGCAGAGTCATTCAGCTCTGATGACTGACATCTCAGGAATCTCAGAGCTCCCCCAACCCAGCGCCCCCAGATTCTGGTGTGTAAGGAAGCTACTTGAACGTGAATTCCGATACCACAGGTCTGGGACTGGCAGGGAAATGTACATTTTATGAAGATTTCTAGGTGATTCTGGCTGTGGGTGGGCTATGGACCACCTTTCAAAACAATTCTCAGAGGGTGGTCTGGGGCCCCTGAAGGTCCCTGAGACCCTTTCAGGGAGAAGTGGGGACGAAACCATTTCCACAGTTTTCATCCATCTTTGTGTTTTTCATTCTCATTTCCCCATAATTTAGTGTTTTCCAGAGGCTCCATGACGTGATGCTGAAGAGATGACATGTGGGAGCAGATAGGAGAGTCCAACCTATTCATTATGCTGCCTTAGGCCAGACACTAGATTTGCAACCAAGTTGTCAAAAATACCACTTATCTCACTGAATGTTCCCTTTGTTTGGGGCAACTGTTCGAGTGTGGAGTGTCTCAGTTTTGATTTTTCAAGTGGTAGATGTAGATAGAGATAATCCCACAGACAGAGCTCTCTGGGTCCTCAGCGACTTCTAAGAGTGTAAAGGTCGGAAGCCATCCGGTCTCAGTGCCGCCGACCTCGTGCAGAGCCGAGACTCGCTGAGTCACACGGGACACCAGAACCGCCCCCCTGGGGACGGGTTAGATGCACTCCAAAGTCCCCCGCAATAAACCATGGGACTCAGACACAGCCTCAGCGACAGGACAGCAGGGTTTCACAGTCAGATCGAATGGCCTCACAAGCGGTCTGGACTGTCCCTCCTGGAAGCTGCCTGGTGCAGAGACGGAAAGGAATGGGTTTTGGTGTCGCACTGGCCTTAGCTGGCTCCCGTTTCATTCCTTTCTAGCTGTGCAATTTGGGGCGAGTCACTGAATCTCAGAGTTCCCGCGCGTGTGAAACAGGAATGACAGACAGCACCTCGCACGGCAGCTCTGGGGTCCGATGAAACGGACGAATACTTGTGTCTGGTACGCAGGTAGTACCCGTGTACTAGTATCTGTCTGTTTAGTGGGAAGGAGTAAGAAAGAAGAGCCGTCGCCTAGAGGAAATAGGACCCAAGCAGACAATTGCTCCCAGGCCTCCTTGTGAACCCCCAGAGAGGCGGATGAGCACTCCTGCAGCTCCTGCAAGATGGAGTGGCTCCCCCAGTTCCAGCTAAGACTGGTGAGAAGACGGTCCATGAACTGGATTGTTTGCTATAGACAACACTCCCACATGACAATGACATAGCCATGAATGTTGCAGTATCTTCCCAACCACATATCACCCAGGTGCCTTAACCTCCTCCCCACGGCCATTACCTTCTGTCTGGTACCCCTTCAGGGCACCCTAAATAGCGGGCACCTGCACATCCTATTAAAAACCCTCCCCCCAGGGCACATCCTAACACAATGCCCGGGAACATGCCCCTCAGTCTGAGCTTGGGCTCCTGGGGGTCACCCAGGGTGACTTGTAGTATTTCTCGTAGGCTGGCTAGCGCTCACTCTCTCAATCGTTATATTTTTGTTTTAAATCTGAGAATGTCTTTATTTTGCCCTTATTTTTGAAGTATGATTTTGCTACATAAAAGAATTCTTGGTTAACAGTGTTTTGCTTTCAGTTCCTTGAGCGGCTCATGTCAGCGGCCACGGATTTCACCGTTTCTGATGAGCCGCCGGCCACTAGTCTCACTGTCCTCCGGTTCACGGTGTATGGTTTCCCTCCTGCTCTTCCGAAAACCTTCCCTTTAGTTCCCAGCAGTTTAGGGTGTATCTGGGCGTGGATCTCTTGGTGGTCACCCTCTCAGGGTGCACAGAGTTACAACTGCACATTCATGTCCTTCGGCTCATTTGTAAGTTTCTAGCCATTATTTTTTTTTATTTTTTTTAAAGATTTTATTTATTTATTTTTAGAGAGAGAAAGGAGGGAGGGAGAGAGAAAGAGAGGAACATCAATGTGTGGTTGCTGGGGGTTATGGCCTGCAACCCAGGAATGTACCCTGGCTGGGAATCGAACCTGGGACACTTTGGTTCCCAGCCTGCGCTCAATCCACTGAGCTACGCCAGCCAGGGCTTTCTAGCCATTATTTTTAAAAAATGTATTTATTTTTAGAGAGAGAGGAAGGGAAGGGGAATGAGAGGGAGAGAAACATCAACGTGTGGTTGCCTCTCATGTGCCCCCCACTGGGGCCACAGCCTGCAACCCAGGCATGTGCCCTGACTGGGAATTGAACCGGCGACCCTTTGGTTCTCAGACCTGTGCTCTATACACTGAGCTACAGCAGCCAGCGCTAGCCATTAATTCTTCAAATAATTTTTTCTGGCCTTTCTTCTCTCCTGTCCTCTAAACTCCCATTTCACATCTTGGTACTCTGTTCAGACTTTTTTTAAATGTCTGTTTTTAGCCTGGCTTCCTGCAAGCTGCCCTGTGCCTCCTTAACTTGGCTGCCCCCTGATGACTTGGGAAGGCGCTGGGTGCAGACCCCTCGGCCACGTGTCTGTGTGCGCACACTGGGAACTGCACTCACAGCTCACCCGCTTCCCGGGGTTTCCTGGGCTTTTTCTTGGGCTTTCTGGAACCTCCACTGCCCATGGAGTTTCCCCGTCAGCCAGGGATGTGTCCAGAGCTCCTCTGGTCCTTGTGTGGTGCTCTTTTTTTTTCTTTTTTAAAGATTTTATTTATTTTTAGAGAGGGAGGGGAGGGAGAAAGAGAGAGAGAGAGAAACATCAATGTGCGGTTGCTGGGGGCCGTGGCCTGCAACCCAGGCATGTGCCCTGACTGGGAATTGAACCTGTGATGCTTTGGTTTGCAGCCCGCACTCAATCCACTGAGCTATGCCAGCCAGGGTGGCGCTCTTATTTCCAGAGCCTCCCTGTGAAATTTCTGGCTAGTCTGCTGCTTGTCTAATGGAGACCTTGGGCCAGCGAGCCTCGACCTTCCCCATCGTTTCTTACCAACGTTGCTGGTCTCAGCTGACAGAAGGGGTGCAGGTCCCCTCCCCTCCCAGCTCCCCCAAACCCCAAACTTGATCAAGGCTGCCCCCTTTGGAGCCAAGTCCTGGGCTAGTAAAACACCTTCTCTCCCAACAGAGCCGGTGGGGCGGGGAGCAGGGGAGGAGGCAGTCCCGGGCAAGAAAAAAGGCTGTTGGCTTCCACTGCTCTTCCCTGAAGCTCTGGTCATTTGTCCCCCAAGAATAAATGGTTTTTCACTTGTCTTGGGTTGATTTCAAGAGCCTTAGAATGTTCTTAGTCATTTTCACCCATTGTATGCTTTCTTACGTATTCACACTGCTGTAGCCAGGACGCCCTCCGTGGCCCAGTCCTTTTGTCTGCGACGAAGGCCTTCCTGGAGTCCCCAGGGAGAGGCGGGGCTGGGGACGCCTACTGAAGGCACCGACCTCCACGGGCCCGCTGAGGTAGAGCTGGAGCCTCCTGCCGCCTCCCCCGGCATCCATCTCCCACAGGCCGGATCCGCGCAGCCTCGGAACCCAGGAGCGGAACACGCAGGGAGAAGCTTCAGAAGGGACCCGCGGAGGGAGCAGCCCCAAGCCCCTGCCGTTCTCTAGGGGCTGCGTCTGCAGGCCCCTTGAGTGCAAGGACTCCACCTCCTGTGGGTCCCGCCTCCCCCCCCCCCCCCCCGTGTCAACACAAGCTGATGTATATAGTCTTCAAACTGTCACTGCAGTGACAGCTCTAAGATGTCACTACGAATGCTACCTAATAGGACAAAGAAAACTCAGCGCATGGAGGCTGACTTTCTCAGCCAGTGAGTGGCAGAACTGAACTTTACCCCAGGTCCCCGAGGGCCAGCCCCACACCCCCTCCTGACCCCAAGGAGCAGGGCACCATCACACAGTGCAGAGGTACCTTCCCGGGGAGGTTGGGTGTGGGGGTGCGTTAGACGTGTTCCGCTGACTTTAAGTGGAAAGCTAAACTGACATGAACTTTCTAAGACTAGTAGTGGAAGGCACTTGCAGACAATTTGCAGGCACAACTTGACACGGTAGCTCCCTTCAAAAGAGCCTAGAGCCTCCCACACCTTTCAGCTTTGTTGCAAACTACTTCCTCTTTCTGTGGGCTGGGTTACAAGGAAGCCTGCTATCAGATTTGCTGCAGGAACAAATTGATTGCTCTAGTCTGAGATTTGTCAAGGGAGAAGTTATGCTGAGTCAAGGTGACTAAACATCTGGACCCACTGGAGTTCCTGTGAAGTAGGCTTCTTCTAAGGAAGACATTTAAACATCGAATCAACAGCCAGTTTTTTTTTCTTTTATTACTAATGTTACATGCTACATAGTCTTTTTATTTCTTTGTTAAGGTTCTAACTACTGGCAAAAAATACTGCCTCCTGGGTCCCAGGATTGTTGGGAAACTACAGCAACCTGGGTTCGGGAGAGCAGGTCTGGGGCAAAGGTAAGTAAGCCCCCCAGTCCGCCCCCTCCCCCGCCGTTCCACCCTCCACCCAGAGACGGACGCAGCTAAGCCATGGCTTACTTGAGTCAGAGCTTCATGCTGACCTTTAGTTTTTAGAAAATCCTCAAATATTTGGCCTCTAATACTTGAGAAAGGCAACTCCCATTACTGTTTATCGTAACAACCTTTGGCCTTGCCTTAACTCCCCGGTCCCAGCCCAAAGCATGGGCAGGAATTCTACAAAAACAGCCCTTCTGTGCAAACATCCCAGGGCCGAGTCCTTTGTCTGACTTACATAAGAGGGTGTGTAACATACTAGTTGGGGCAGATTTGAAAATCCCAACTCAGCCACTCACTCTGGTGTATCATTCCTGCAGCTGAACTCAAGGGACTTGTTCACATGCTAGGTAGAAAGAGTACTTCTGTGAAAACCCAGAGACCAAATATCCTAAAGCCAGGTAAGTATGCCGGGTGCTCAGAAACACGAAAACTTTACGACTGTGCAGAGACAAGGAGTGCCCAAGGGAAAGTGGGACAATCTCTTCACTGAACCAGAAGTGGGACGACGGAGAAAATCCGATAGAAAAGTAATGCAGGAAACGCACACCGTTCCCTGGGACCTCCTGACACTCTACGGTGTCAACTTTGCGAGAGACGTGGCGACTCGCAGAGAGTGACCCTGGCTGGGGTCCAGTGATAGGGGACACCCAGCTTTATCAAACCTGATGCAGCTCAAACAAAAGCCCAGAGGCGTTCAGGACGACGTGGTCTGATGGAAGCCGAGAGTTGACTAACGTCCAAGACCAGGGCGTGGGAGTCCTGGAGAAGGCAGTGCCCACAAGATGCCTTGCGTGCACTCCTGTCGGGAGGGGGTGGGGGGGGGGCGATGCCTGCCCCCGCACCACACTGCCTCCTGGTGTTCTGCTGGGTGAACCGCAGGTGCTCCCCAAGGACTGAGGCCCCACCTTGCCCCTGGTGTGTGGGCTGCAAGCCACTGGCCTCCCCGAGGGGATCACTCCCTTCCCCCGTTCCGGCCTCCCCTTCAGTTCCTTCGCTCCACCGGCACCCACACAGGCTGGGCCAGCTCCTTCTTTAACAGAACCTCTCCTTGACCCTGTGTCCCCGCCCCTTCTCCCCTTTACAGTAAAAATCTCCGGGAGAGTTATCTGTACTCACTCTTTCAGCTCCCTCTCCTGTTCTCCCTGGAACCCGCTCGGGTTAGGCTCTCACCAGCACCACTCAGGGAACACGCTCTGCCCACCCAAGACCCTGCTGGGGCAGAGGCATGGCTGGCGCCTCCTCCCACGTCAAGTGAGCTCCCTTATACTGGCACGTTCCTCACTTGTCAGTCCCTCAGGGCCCCCAGGAGAGAAAGGGTGCTCCTGTGAGTCTGGAAGGAGACCCTGGGCAGGGACAGCTGCCACCTCCCCCACCTCCCTCCTCTCCAGGGGCCTTGGCTGCCGCAGGGTCACATGGTACTGTGCTGCACCTCTGCACTTCTGCTACTCGGCGTGGGCCCCGCAGCAGCAGCAGCAGCAGCGACGACACTCCAGGGACTTGATGGGAGATGCAGACTCTCAGGCCTGACCCCCGCCGCCTCAGCCAGAGCCTGCACTTCACTGCAACCCCCGGGGGAGGCTGCGGCACACTCGAGTGCAGGGAGCGCTGCTCCTAACCCTCTGGCTCTGAGGTCCAGTGTCGGGCAATCCATTTATCCACCGCCACAGCCCCATTCGCCGGTCGCACCTTTAACAGCAAACACAGGTGGTGGTGGTCTGATCTGCCCTCTTGCCTTCTTCTTTCCTTGGTGGGCTCTGCGTCTGGGAACAAGCGATGGTGGTGGTCACTGGCTCCCTCCAACGTCCTCCACCTCCCCGTCCTCAGAGCCTGTGGCCACCGCTCAGCACTGACTCTGACCGATCAGCTGCACTGGACGGCTGCCGCGTCCCCACCCCCTCTTCACAGGCCACCGTCCTCGCCGCCCGGCCTCTGCAGGCTGCAGTGCTCCCGGACACAAGCCCCGGTTCTCCTCTCCGGCTACACTCGCCGGCCAGGTCTGCTCGCCGGCCACCTCCACGCCCACGACTCCCAAACGTACGTCTCCAGCCCCAGCCTCTCCCTCGGAATCCAACCAGGGTACCCAGCTGCCTCCCCGACTCCACGTTCCGGTGGCAATGCTGGCATCTCGGAGTGAACGTGACCGAAACCGGGCTCCTAATTCAGTGCCGGTCTGTGAGTGTTCTCCCACCCTCTGCGCCTCGGGGCTGCCCCGCCGTCCCTCCTGCCCAGGCACACACCCTCCAGGCCACCTCTCTCCTTTCTCTCCGGCTCCCCGTGCCGTTCTTCCGCCAACTGTGAGCTCTGACTGAAACACAGCCTGAATCTGACCGCTTCTCCCTGCCTCTGCGCCCCCCCCCCCCAGTCCAGGCTGCCACCTTCTTCCCTGGAATATCGGGGTAACAACACCCTAGTTCGTCTCCCTTCTTCCCACTTGCCCCCCTCCCCTCCCCCAGCTACTTTCCACTCTACAGCCAGAATGGTCGTTTAAAACACACATGCCATGCGCTTGCCCTGGTGGGGCAGCTCAGCGGGTCCGAGTGTTGTCCTCACACACCAAGGTGGCGGGTTTGATCTCCACTCAGGGCACGTGTAAGAATCGACCATAAATAAGTGGACAAACAAGTCAATGTTTTTTCCCTCTCTCCCCTCCTTCCTCAGTCTCTCTAAAATCAATTTAAAAAAGCGAATACATGCAGCCAGACACCACCTAACAATGTTTAGGTCAGCGAGGAGCCGCACATCCAGCGGTGGTATGCCACGCAGCCTGGGCGTGCCGTAGACCACGCCGTCTGGGTGTGTGTAGGTGCACCCCGGGATGTCCGCACGGCGACGATATCGCCAAGGGCGCACTTCGCAGACCGATCCCCAGGGCTAAGCGACGTGTGACTCTGAGATCATGTGACTCATCTTCTCAAACCCCTACTTTGACTCCCCACTTCTCTCTAGCGAGATGGGAGCTACCTGAGCCCTAAGCCACCTGAGCGCCCTGGCCCTTTTCCCATGCCGCGTGCGACTCCAGTGCTCAGTCGAAGCCAGCCTCCTTGCTAATGTTTGAAACCGACAGAGAACGCTGCTGCCTTAAGGGTTTAAATCCTCTGCCTGGAGACCTCTTTGCCGGGGAGTCTGCATGGCTTACCCACCCCTTCATTCCACAGTCTGCGCAAACGTCATCTCCCAGGAGGGGTCTTCCCAGGCCACTCGAAGGATGCCGCCTTCCCATCCCTTCTAACCCTGTACTAATTAAGGTTTACACCTGGCCTACACACCACTTGACGTAAACTTGGTGCTGAATGTCCTCCCCGCTGGGATGGGAGGGCCGCAGTGCAGGCACGGCATCCGCACAGCACGGGGACGGGTGGGTGCTTGGCTGTGTGCTGGGCACATCGCTGCTTCCTGCCCGAACGCTGCTTCTCCCTCCCTCCCTGTTTTTCTCTGAACACCCAAGACGGTGATCACTGTGCACGCTCTGCTTACAACGGGAACTTGTTAACTCAAGCTGATACGGTGAAGTTTTCCACTCGCCCAGACCCCCAAACACCACCACCACTACAGACTCACTGGTAGGTGTACAGAGAGAGGCGCTGGTGGGGGGAAATGGAGACAGATCTTTCACTTAAAATACCCGCCGCCGTACTTGGAGGAAGGGACTTTCGGAGAACCAGCACCTCATTAGCTCTCCTGGTTACACAGTAACTGGTGTTCTGGATGATCAGAAAGGAACACGAAGGTCGTAACACCGTCTCCACGAGTGAAGAAAAATGAATCTCTGTGTGATTACCATTCAAAGGGTGAAGAATGAACGCACATCGAGAGCCTCCTGATGCACTGGTTGTACCTTTATTATTTGACCTCGTTCACTACTAGTTCCGTGATGCAAGGTTACCATACACAGTTAGATAATGTCTGCATTGCACGTCTACGGCTATACAGCAAAAGAACCAGAATTAGTACAAATACGAGAACTATATTTACATTCTGTATACCCAAGCTCCAAACATCAGATAGTATTTACATAATAAAACATGGAAATGAAAACCTGAAATCAATAATGTACACTGTTGCTAATGTGCTGAACTCCTTCACCGGGGAGAGATCAGGTTGCGAAGTCTTGGTTCAAAAAGGCCACTTATGTTCATGGGTTTTGTTGCGGTGCACAGGGTGGTGACACGAGACCCGACATCTCAACGACAGGTACGTGAGAGCCACGAAGGCTGAGACACCGCCTTGGGCGTGAGAAGGCGGGCAGAGTCCTCACGTGAACTGATGCCAGAATATGCAGCTTGAAAAAAAAGCGACGCGAAGACGGAAAACAGCACGGGACAGCCAGGGTCTGGCGAGAGACCAACCTCGGCGCAGACCTCCCATCTGAGCACGGCCGTCTGTTCGGCCGTGAGTTTTTAACATGGAGTCTGTGTCAACTCTCATTTCTTCCTTCAGGTGGTTAGAGGCTTTCCTAAGATTTTATGGGGCTCGAATACGAATTTCATAAATGGCCTTTTGAACAGCAAAAGCAGATAATCTCTCGGCTGATATTTCAATTCGAAGGAAACACATATCAGTACATTCCTACCTCACACAGTAATGGCTTGGCCACACACTTGGCTGAATCATCGCTGGCTACGGTGGACAGCTGCATGCAGGACACACGGGTTAGAGTCCTACTGGAAATACATTCAGCATACCTTCTGAGGGCAGCAGCAGAGTTAGGGTTCTTTGTAAGGAGCAGGTTAACAGTCACATTTTAAAAGGGGAACCGAAAGGGAAAACGAAGGACCCAAGCCAGACAGACAAGCCCCGATGCCGCCCGCAGACCCCGGGGGGGGACACAGCGCGGGGGGCGCTGAGTACCGCCCGGCACTGCGCGCTGGGCCGCCCTCTCTTTTCCAGTCCACTGTGCAATTAATTACAGCTGTATAAATATACAAATACCTTACAAAATTAAATATCCCTGTAAATTAGAGAAGAAGCAGCAGGCAACAAAGTCTTTGCTTTGAAATATGTGCCAGGTGAAGTCATTTTCTTTTTAGATCCCAAAAGACCTTTCACAATGATTTAATTTATTCCTTCATCTTGAAAGAGCTGAAAAAAATCCATCAAAAATATGAGCAGCTCTCTAAGTTCTACAGAGCTGAGGAAGAAAAAAAAACCATATATATACTGATAAAATCAGAGTGGTTTGCTGGTTGGGAAAAATCATTTTCCCCTGCCATCACCCGGTTTTAACGATGTACTGCAATTTAGGTGCCCGCCCAGCCGCAGCGGCAGCCTTCCCGAGCTCCTGGCTGTGTGCAGGGGCTGGCCGGCCCCGCAGAGCCCGGCCTGAGAGCTGGCTGACCCCCAGGCAGGCGCAGGCAGGAGGGCGCGCGCCGGTCTGGTGCGGGCTGTGAGGCCGGGCTTTGCTCTGGCAGGAGACAGGAGGAGGGGAAGGATGGGAGCAGATGATTAACAAGCACTCATTTCTTCACTTGTGTACGAGTCTCCTTACTTGCCTTTTTTTTTTTTTTGCTTGTTAAAAGAAGTATTTTAGGAAGAAAATTTAAAAACCTTCAAAATGGTGGTTTTCTTAAAACGTTAAGTTCATTACTAAACTTCCCTGCCACTATGGCTTTGGCTAAAGCCCCATAAATAGCTCCTGTCATAAACCGTCTCTCAGAGCTTCAAAGTGGGGACGAATCTGTCTGCAAAGGGAAAGTCAACTCTGAGACCGCTCTAACTCAGATCTGAGGATGGGCCCTTTGAGAAAGAGAGACCAAGAGAGGCCGTCCGTGCCTGTCAGCCGCAGCGGCGGAGGCCCCTTGGCTGGGAGCAGGCGCTCCCACCCGCCCGAGCGAGAGCCCTGCTTTCTCGCGAAGCGGTCCTGCCCAGGGAAGGCTACGAACAGTCCACGCAGCCTGTTCTAAGAGCTGACACCTCCAAAGCAAAGACCGTCCAGAGGGTTTTGAGTCAGAAGCAGCAGCAAAAGCCATTTCAGTGTAACACGTGGTTGTGCCCTCCCTCAGCCTTCCCCACCTACTGTCACACAGACATGGGTCCTTCCCCCACACTTTGACACAGCAGCAGCATCCATGACTTAATTCTGAAAGGAACCTTCGGATTTCATTTCCCTGAAATTAGATTTAATTCCAGCCCAGGAAGCTGTGTCTGAGCACAGACAGGCCCTGGATTTGAGCACACACACCAGAAGGGTGCACTGTGTCTATTGGACAGCGCAGAATCCTCTGAGTACGTTAAAATACCGTTTAGAAAGCAAGTAACATTACTGTTAGTGACCTATGTTTAAAGAGAAGAAAGTTAAAAAGATCTACTAGAGTTTTCACTGACCACTTTTCAGGCGAGGTCACTGCCTGTGATTTCTATCCTTTCTTTTCTTGAGCTCTCCCTGCCTTGCCCCCCCCGCCCCGCAAGGCAATCACAGTGCGTACCGCCGGGAGCCCTGTTCTGCGGTGAGCCCAGCAACTCCCCTGCAGGGTGCACGGCCCTTGCCCTCCGCTGCCTGAAGCACAGCCACCAGTTCCCCAGCACCTGAGCGCCAGGAACCTCAAGGCTTAGGACCCTCGGCCTCCAGAGTGGGAACAAGCAGGTCCTGTCCTGACCGCCCGACCGGTGGTCCGAGCAGGGGAGGAAAAGGACGGTAAGAACAACCCACGTCCACTAACTGGCAGAGCAACTCAAGTACCTTGGAGGCCTTCTCCTCTCCGTGCTGCTGCTGGACAACTTGCTGGCAGCTGAAAGGAGAAAAGCATCTTCCACGATGGCTTGTGGAAGCAGCTGTCCCGGTCCTGCCAGGGGGGACTATGAGCGCCCTCCTTCCTCCCCTGGCAACGCGCCACACCCGACACAGAGAGCCCAGGAGAGGCCCGAGGGACTCGAGCAACACAACGCTGGGGCCAGGGCTCGGGTGGGGGCCCTGTTCTCTACCCCAGACATGCTTTTGCTTTGACTTCAGTGGTGGGAGGCCGCTGGTTTTAATCCTGGGGTCCAGAAAGCAAAGCCTGCCATGTTTGCTCATTGTGAGTATGGGGGGACAGGCATCACTGGAAGTACTTTCCATTTGACAAGGATTATTGCAAATAACCACTGGATTCAGAGGAGACTTCCAAGTTTATACTTGAAAGCTGTATTTCTTTGATCGAAGGGAGCTACAACAACCACAAGGTCATTACTCAGCATTACCACAATTAAAAGGGCAACAGTGGCCAAGTTCCTCATCAGAAAGCGAAACACTCCCCCTTGTGGGACATCTGTGTATGACACCGCGCTGCTTCCACACTGTAGCACATCATCCCCGACGCCAGGAACGGAATGGGGAGACAGCCAAGTAGCTCCCTCCCAGGGGAGGGGCGCAATTCACCGGAATCCTGCCGGGCGCCATAACTAGCACCCCGAGGACCGTCCATGCCCCCCCCACACCCTGCGCTCCCCGGAAACCCTGGCTCCTCCCTTCTGACAAGGTCACCAGCAGCCAGCCTCTGCCTCAGGCCTGCCGACGAGTCCTCTCCCCCGCTCTGTGCCACTAACTGGAAACCGCACGGCCATCTCTAAACGAGCCCCAACTTCAGAGGACAGACCTGTCCCACGGCTGAGCTCGCCACAACCTTCTCCCTGAACGGAAAGCAGGAACCAGTGGTGGAAAAAGGCAACAGAAGGGGGAAAGGTCAAGTTTTTTTTCCTTTCAGGTTCTGAAAAGGCCAGATGTTTCCTCCCTTTGTCTCTAGGCCACCCGAGACAAATTAAACTGATAGCACGAATACAGAAAAGAAAAAAAGCATTATGCGGTCTTAAAAAAAAAGACAAAGATATCCAAAGACAGCAGTACAGACATCAGAGGTGGTCACAATGGGGACCTATTATACAAAAGGAAGCCAAATATACCAAAAATAATTGGAGATTCATTGGATTTCCCTCTGGGTTTTTTGTTTGTTTTGCTTTGTTTTTCCCCCCTTTTGTTAGGCCACATGCTACTGACAAGATTCTCAGCACAGGAGAAGAGAGAGAGAGCACAGAGCAATGGATATGGGGACGGGAGCTAGAAAAAGTGCTGGACAAGGAGGGAGGAGGGGTTAAGCCACAGGAGTACATACAAGAGTAACCGTCAAGAATCACAAAGAGAGACGAGAGGTAACACTTTCTTTATCTCTCGGAAGGCGCGTGGGGGCGCTCGGCAGAGTCCCTCAGCACTTGGGCTGGCTCGGGCATCTGCGGGCGAGCTTCGACCTGCGGGCGACAGACGGAGAGGCGGGTGAGAAAACTGACCTGGACATGTTTCCCTCCCGGGTCTCCTCCTCCAGGGCTCCCTCCTTGGATTCACTCCCAAACTGCACCAAGCGCCAGGTCTCTGGGCTCCCTGAACAAACAGGCTGGACTGCGATCTTCCCCACTAGCGGACCCTGGGGCACAAGCCCCTCACAGGGCCTGAGGCTGGATCATAGGGCTGGATATTGACTGGCAGACCATTAAGGTCCTCACCGTCTTCCCTCTACTCAGGCCCGTAGATCCCGGCTGCAGGACCCTTGAGAACAAAAAGTCAAAGCAGAAGATCAACTGAGTGCAAATGTGACCAGTCTCCTGCCCTGCCCAGGACGCCAGCTGGCACCTTATGAGAAGCTGAGGCCTCATCAGCACCCTACAACCACACTTACATTCCTGTCCTCCCTCTATCTTCAATCTGTCTGCAAGAAGACTTCCTTCTCTGTTTATGCTGAAGTCCCTGGGCCCAAAAGCCAAGGAGGGAAGGACACACAGGGATGGCTTCTTACCGTATTGTGCCAGCAAGGAGTGGATTAAAGGCATACAACCAGTCGTTCATGTCTTTGTCATTGAGGGCTTGCAGAAGGACCCCGCGGTGCTTTGTGAGCACAGCAAAGGTGTTAGGTGCCTGAAAGAGACGCAGGTAGATGAAAACGTTACAAAGGCTATGAGCGAGGGAGACCGCCTGACATACTCATAGGGCATACGGCACTCGGTACTGGGGTGTGTGTGGCAATGGAGACCCAAGAGCGGGAAGGACTGACCTTCACCATGGCCTGCTGGTCCTCGCTGTACTCAACCTGAGCTGTGGACAGGTTAATAATGCCACGTTCCACTGGGTCTTTGTCACTGTTATAGATGAAGACATAAGGGCGACGGACCACAACAAAATGTTTAGCCCAGTTGCTAGAAAAGGGCTCCTTGAAATGCAGGTATCCTTTCTTAGAAACCACGGAGCTAAAAAGGATAAAAAGGACGATACAAGAAAGGTTAGTTTCTCACAGAAAGGAAGTAACCAGGAGCTGAGGACCATCAAAACACGCCTCACCTAGGCCAAGTGCCCCCCCATGTGAACGAAACAGGCAAATGCTCTATCTGCCTAGAGCCTTGTCTGCCAAAGTGACGCAGCGAAGAAAACAGCGCGCCACGGGACATGCCAAGCTGGGCTGGGGGAGCATTACAGGATACGGCCGGAGCAGAGCCCCAGCACAGGGCGCTCACCCTGGGCCCACGTGCCCTGCGCTGTAGAACAGACCTCACGGACGAGTGGAAAGTACCTTCTTGCGGGATCGTTCTTATGCCTGGCATCTCTGTATGGTACTACTCACCCTGGTCTAATTTCTTCAATATCTGGAACAAGATTGAGAAATTCATTTTTTCCCGCTCGGGCCAAATAGGGTGTTTCCACAGCTGGGACGATCTGAAACTGTTCAAATTCTGTGCAGGGACTAGAGGCCCGGGAATTCGCTTCTGGGGTCCTTTAAAAGACAGAGGTCAGGGTAACAAAAGCGTCAGTGGGGCAACGCATAATGTGCACAACCATCTCATCGGGAGGAGCGACGCCCCCCTGACCGCCGGGGCCCTGCACACGTCAGTCTCGGGAGCTCGGCCGAGAAGACCCGCTGGGGTCAGTGAGGCACAAGGCACCTCAGTGCCCATCGCTGATTCGTTCTAGAACTCCTGGCAAGTACTGAACAAGGAAGCATTTTCTCTCATGGGGTGCCGTCATGACCCACGCCAGTTCTAGCAGTGCGACAGGTCCCGAGCAAGCGCCAAGTGCTAAAACATTTTCTTCTCCTCAAAATGCGAGGAGTACAGGGTTTGACGAGCTCTGAAGCTGGCGAGCCCCGAGGTGTGACTGGGTTCCAAATTCAACGTCAGAGGTTACAAAGAGAAACTAATCTCACAGTGTGGTGCTCTGACCAGCAGCAGCGGCAGCGGCACCTGGAAGCTCATCAGAAGTTCAAATTCTCAGGCTCTAACCCAGATCTACAGAACCAGAAACCCTGGGTGGGGCTCAGCCGTGGGGACTTTGACGAGCCTGTCAGATGACGCACACTGGCGTCTGAGAACCACCGCCTTAAGGGGCTGGCAGAGAAAGCAGGCCAACAGGAAGTTCCTGATGACCAGGAGGCGCAGAGCCGCAGGGCGCCAGTGCAGCGCTGTCAGGGGAGAAACGATTCCTGTGCCCTGCCATGTTCAACGCCTTACCACTCCTCGAGCTGGGGCGCATCTTACAATCAGTAGCGTGTCATCTTTTAGTGGGAGTGCTTTTCCTTTCTCAGTGGCACACAGAATAATGTCTTACAGGCAGTGGCACTCTAGAATTAATCACGTTACCTGGTTGTGGTCTTTTCTCTAGCCCCAGTCAGCTGCGTGAGTGTGCGTACAGGAAGACAGACAGCTGGATGCTAACGAGGCGGTTCTGACAGGTGGGGGTGAGGAATGGAGACAGGGCGGAGGAGTCTAATGGTGCACTGCAAAGAAGTGACTGTGGTGATAAACTCATGGAACATAGACTAAATTTGTCTCCATTATTCTTGCCTACATACTTCGTGTGTCATCAAATTGTTTTTTTTCCCCAAAGTAGTTTTGAAATAATTTCCCCCAAGATGGGGCTTCCTATGTCTGGCATGACTGAGTGGCTGAGCAGGGTGGGAAGGGAAGGACAACTGGGCAGAACTGGAGGCAGAGGAGGAGGCAGTGATTGGGTGCAGAAAGTCAGAAGACGTGGTGCTGACCTGCAGCACTGCCCCAGCCGCTGCGATACCCAGAAAAGGCTCCCACACATCTCCACACGCTGCCCAGCAGGACGGTGCTGCCCTCGGTCGAGAACCACCGAGCCAGAGGAAGGCTGGTGTCTCCCTGGGTCCCTAGATTAGCTTCCCGCAGTGAAGCCGGTACCTACTTCTGATCCAGAGAGTTGCTCCTCGAGTCTACCAGAGACGGGCAGGTGGAGGAGGGCGTGAGGGTGGAGCTGCTGAAGCTGGACACCGAGGGATCCCGTCCAATTGGAGAGATATCAGACAACTGGAAGCAAACAGAACACAGCATGGGAGACACAGATGGAGGAAAACTCCCTCTGCAATAAGAAGCTTTGACAACCAGTGGCCTCACTTTCATTAATCTTCTTCTGCTTCAGGTCATTCAAAAAAAAAAAAAAAAACAAGCCTTAAAAATAAGTATCTTATGGCTCCAAGGAGGACGTAAGGAGGGTCCAGAGACATGAAAAGATGCTCAGTATAACTAGACATCAGAGAGATGCAAATTAAAACCACAGTGAGATACCAATTCACACTGGTCAGAATGGCCATCATAAACAAACCAACAAACAAGTGCTGGCGAGGCCGAGAAAAGGGAACCCCAGTACACTGCTGGTGGGACTGCAGACTGGTGCAACCGCTATGGAAAACAGTATGAAATTTCCTCAGAAAACTAGAAATGGAACTGCCTTTTGACCCAGCAATTCCACTGCTGGGACTATATCCTAAGAACCCTGAAACACCAATCTAAAAGAACCTATGCACCCCAATGTTCACAGCAGCAAAATTTACAATAGCCAAGTGCTGGAAGCAACCCAAGTGCCCATCAGTAAATGAGTGGATCAAAAAACTGTGGTACATTTACACAATGGAATTCTATGCAGCAGAAAGAAAGAAGGAGCTCCTACCCTTTGCGACAGCTTGGATGGAGCTGGAGAGCATTATGCTAAGTGAAACAAGCCAGGCAGTGAAAGACAAATACCATATGATCTCACCTTTAACTGGAACCTAACCGACAAACCAAATAAGCAAGCAAAATATAACCAAAGACATTGAAATTAAGAACAAACTGATAGTAACCAGGGGGGAGAGGGGAGGGAGTAGTGGGGGGAAAAGGGTGAAGGGTTTATAGGAACAACTTTAAACCATTTATAGGACATACGGACAAAAGTCCTTTATAGGACATACGGACAAAAACAAGGAGGGGCAGACACGAGGGGAGGATGGCTGGGGTGGTGAGGAGGGGTGTGGAGGGGAAGGCAGAAAACTGTACTTGAACAACAGTAAAATTTAAAAGTATTTAATTTAAAAAAAGTATTTTATGGCCCGAGTGTCAGAATCAAGACACTTACAAGAGGCAAGGTTGGCTTTTTATATTGCCACCGGCCGCCTGCATTAATCAAGGGACCTGGTCTGTGTGAGCCGGGCACTGAGAGAGACAACACGCACTGTTCTAAGGGCAGGGGACAGGCCCTGCCCGGCCGGAGCTTACACTCTCAGTGGAGAAGGCAGACCATAAACCAGTCAACACGCACAGGAAGGAGGGTCGGGCAGTGGTAAGTGCTACAGCAAAAAGGGAGGAAGCAGGGAAGAGTTCAGACAGTGTAAGGGAGCTGCCGGCTGTACATCGAGCCGCTAGGCTGGCATCATTTGAGCCGAAGAAGGCAGTACATAAAGGAGCCAATCCCGGGAACATCTGGGAGAAGGCTACTCTGGGCAAAGGAGCACAAGGCTACGAAGACCCCCTAGGTAGGACTGAGCTTCAAGTATCTTCAGAAATAGCAAAAAGGTCAAGGTGACTAGAATAGAGTGCATGACCCAGAAGTTCTTTAAAGTGTTCACCTCATCTTTGTGGACGGCAACAGAATTTTATGCCACCAAGAACCTCGGGACTTCCTGCGACCTATCATACTCTAACACGCCACCCCCTACAGAATATTCTCCAAGGGACTCAGGAAAAAGCCAAAATAGTTCCCATCTGATAATCACTCTAAGAGACGCAGACATACACTTTTCTCTTCAAAGCCCAGTGTCCTGAACAATCAGATACAGCAGGGGGTATGTCATGCACCCTCAAATACCATGCTTTAACCACATCAAGCCACCTGCAAGCAGTGTAAGCTGGGGACGAGTCCGAGCCGCTCACCTTACAGTCGCTGATGCTGCCGTGCACCTGGCTGAATTCCCGGTTGAAAGTGTGGGTGAGAAGCTGCAGGCACTGGGGAAGAGAAAGGGGCAGTGTAAGTTTCGGTGATTAAACGAAGCCCTGAATGCGGGGCAAGACAGGAAAATCACTCGCCTAAGACCCTCAGGGGAGGTCAGATGCTGCTCAACGGCTCTAGAAATTAACGGAACATACAACAAGGGAGCCTGTACATGCCTAATAAAAAAGATAAAACGAGTGGGTAAGTCATTCTCAAATCTACAGAAGTGAACACTTCAACACCAGAGCTCGGAAGTGCTTAAGAATGCAATAGCGTCCCTTTCATTCCTATTCTGCCCTGGCACTAGCAGGCATGGAGACTTCTGGATGGACCTACTTACCTAAATCGGTTAGACCACCGTTTGATTATTACGACAAACAGACACTAAGTCCCTCTCATCTGCCCGGGAGTCATCCTCAACGACCTCTCTGCCTTCTCCCACCATGTCCAGGACACAAGGAGTGCCAATCCTAACTCCCAAGTATCTCTAGCGTGACCCTCTTTCCTCGTCATTCCACACACCTGTCTTAGATAAAAACCTTTATCACTTCTCATCTGCGTTATTGCAGTAAAGAGATGTTTCTGTCTCTAGTCTCTCTCCTCACCACAAACCCACCGTCTTTAATGCTGCCAGAGAAGTCTTTCTAAAACCTAAATACCTTCTTAAAATGCTTCCACATTACTCCCAATGCACTGGAAACTCCTTAGAATGGGGCACAGACCCTTTACGATGCCCTGGCCCACCCTGCTAACGCCGTCTCTGATCCCCCGAGGGACTCCCGCGCCGACTACCAGGACAGCTGGCTCCCTCCTTGTGCACCCTTCCGACGTCCGTTCACAAGTGCCCCCTGTGGAGGCCTCTCCTCTGACTCCCACAATGCCCGGACATACACCTCTACCACGTGCGTGTCACCACTTGCCCGCAAGCTTATTAAGGGTGGAAACTGAGTTCTAGTTATTGCTACATTCACAGTGTTAGCACGGGCCACAAGACAGAGGCCCTCCAGGGAAGATGAACGTGGAACTGACAGATCAGCTGAGAGTCTCACTGGGAAAATGCTCAGCCGAGGGAGGGGCTCCGAACCTTGGTGGCCAGCTCCTTCTCTCGATCCACCAGGCTCTCGATGTCCGCTGAGTCGTACCCACTGCTCTCACTGGGTGTGACAGCACTCTCGAAGGTGGTGGTTGAGATCTGAGAGGAGATGCTGGTGGAGGTGCTGAGGGTCCCACTGCTCAGGCTGGGGGACAGCGAGTCGCTCAGGGATTTGGGGATGCTGTCATCCAGTCTCTCACGCAGCAGCAGGAAGTGGCGGGTTTTCTCCACCTAAGAACAACAGCACACACACATCAGCAAACACAAAGCTCATCAGGATTTGTCAGTCCAGTGTTATGCCTCGTCGTGATCAGAACTGAAAAGCCGGGATCACACAGAGGCGGGGGCTGGATGGCTGATACTTGGGCGCTCCCGCTCGAGAGTCCGTCTGGGCGTCTGCTGCCCTGGGCTACCTCGTGCAGGAGCTCCAGCTTCTCCAGCTCCCACTGGTGCTCCAGGATGAGGCTGTCTCCGCGGGGCCGCCAGCCTGCTAAGTTCTCTTCTCCCCGCACATACGCCACTGATGTATCCAAGACTTTTCTTCTCCTCCTCTGCATGCCTGAGACAAGAGGAAACAACTCTTTTTTTCCGAAAAATTTGATTCCAGTTTTACTTCAAAATGAATGAATAATTCATATACATGGTGAACTAAGATAGATTTGGTCTCAAAAATACATGGGATTTTGTTAATTAATAACAATTCATCACCCTCTCCCCAGAGCAATTCTCTGAATGGCTTTTAAAACTGAGTTTTATAGTCTTTGGCAATTATGAAAACTGCAATGCAATTTGAGAAAAGGTTAATATGTTAAGGGAAAAGACAGGGAAGATTAAATAGTTTATACACTGTGGTGCCAAATATATAAAACTACACCTGTGTGAAAAAAGTGGGAAGGGACTACATAATGCACGCACGTACACCCCACACCCCACTTTTAAGTAGCTTGGTTAGAACGGCAGATGACAGGTGGCTTAACCCCCATTGTCTCGCATTACTTTTTTTAAAAAAGATTTTATTTATTTATTTTTTAGAGAGGGGAAGGGAGGGAGAAAGAGAGGGCGAGAAACATCAATGTGTGGTTGCCTCTCGCACGCCCCCTACTGGGGACCTGGCCCACAACCCAGGCATATGCCCTGACTGGGAATCGAACCGGCGACCCTTTGGTTGGCAGGCCAGCACTCAATCCACTGAGCTACACCAGCCAGGGCACATTACTTTTTAAAAATGTTAAACTGCTTTTATGTATTTAAAAAAACATGAATTTATGTTAATTTTAAAAATCCCTCCAGAAACTCCCTGGACATGATAATTAACTGCTACTGGGACTCGGATTCATACTCAAAGTCTTCATTTTTCAAAATCTAAATCTTACCTGTGAGCCCTGACCTCTTTCCATATATGCTCTCTAAAATGATTCCAACTCATATTAACCAAATGTCTTTTCTAAAAAACCCTGACCTTTGCCCTGGCCGGTGTGGCTCAGTGGATTGAGCGCTGGCCTGCAAACCGAAAGGCTGCTGATTCGATTCGTGGTTGGGGCACATGCCTGGGTTGCAGGCTGGGTCCTCAGTAGCGGACCTCTGAAAGGCAGCCAATTGATCTTTCTCTCCCTCTCTTTCTCCCTTCTTTCCCCTCTCTCTAAGATAAATAAATAAAATCTTAAACAGAAAAAAACCCTGACTTTTGTCCATGTCCCAGTTTAAAAACAAAAAATCCAAAGTTCTGCTTAAGACCACCAAGTTGAAGGAAAAGAAATCCAAAGAGACATCAAAAAGAACTAAAGTTCAACTTCGTTTGTGTTCCAGAGCACAGGCCGTTCAAATTCCGCTTTGACATCCTCTGCAAAGTGAAACTGCCAGGTTACCTTTGGGGCTGAGGTGGACAGCAAAATGTTTATGAGGTTTCCCAAGCCAAATTCATTCTAATACACCTGAATTTATAAATAATATTCCAGAGCTTGATAAACATTTTGTTTGATACAGTTATAAAAACTTTATCAAGTTTTTACTTTCCAATCAAAATTTTACAGTTTTTATAACTGCATAGTACGTCATGAACTGAAATGTTATAACTCAGAAAAAGGTAAGTTCTGGCACCAAAATTATGGCTTGTAAAATATGCCTGGTATCTTAAAAAGTTTCTATCCACCCCACATGGGTAGGGTAGATCTTGGGCATAATACACTCCAAACATACACAGAGACAACTACCACGTTCCCCCGTCCATAAGATCTTACCTGGACTACCTGTGTCTGCCATTTTGCATAAACTGAGTTCATAAATTCCAGTGACTCGATTGCTATTTGAATGAAAACAAACAATTGCTTACTATCTCACAGCACAGAAACAGGAAAATCTCAGCTCTCTCTCCTAGCAGGGGTCCGACCTACGGCCCGCGGGCCGGGTGTGGCTCAGGAGGGTTATGAATCGCAAACTTTCTTAAAACATTATGAGATTTTTTTGGTGATTACATGTTGCAATGTATTTAATGTGTGGTCCAAGACAACTCTTCTTCTTCCAGTGTGGCCCAGAGACTCCAAAAGGCTGGACACCCCTGCAAAACACTGTCTCCTCTGTGGGGACTGCAACTCACCCTCGAATAGAAATATCTTACTTTTTTCCTATTCGGAACTTCAGAAGTATATATTTTTCCTACATCCTACATCTGTTCTCATCTCAATCTTTTGAACACTTTAATTTTAATAGGATGAATAAAGTTGAATGATTAGACAGCTTATCATACAAATATAAAAATTAAAAATGTGCCTTTTCCTACTGCGAGAGAGGAGGAGGGGGGAAGCCCAACGAGAACGAGGTGGTAAACACCGACCTCTGGGGAGAACAACCAGGGAGGGGCACCGCACCTTCCATTTTATTAGTAATACTTGTATTTTATGCTGGCTGTGATGCATAGGTACTCGTTGCGTTATTCTTGACATATTTTTGTGTATCTTAAATATGAATAAATCTTTAAGAGAGGAAAAATCCCACTGGTAATCTGTTAGAATAATGGTGACATTTTGTTGTAAAAAAATTCAGTCCTTGCAGACCATTTTGGAACTGTTCACAGCGTAATCTTCCTTCCTCCCTTCTTAACTCAACTCATTATTTTATTAAACGTCAACATTCAAGTCACTGCATCCCAGGGGTGAGTGCCAGAATGGCTTACAGGTTGTAAACCGCCCCTGGGACAGCAAGCCAGGGACACCCAGGGCTCTGCTGATCCGTTGCTGGGCGAACCAACCGGAAGCTAAACCCGTCTCAGACACTCACGCGTCTGGTGACTTGGAGTAGCCGCTGCCGAAGAGGCTGCGCAGAGAGCGCGGCGGCGAGATCCGGGCGTCCCGGGAGTAGAAGACCATGCACACGTCCTTGGTGATGACGGCCGGCTGGATGCAATGGTCCAGCTGAAAGCGGACGGGAGGGTGCTCCGTGAGCGACAGAGACAGCGTCTGTGACAAGAGTCTGTGCACCCCCACGTCTGGGACGCTGGGCCCTGACGGGGGGCCTGGAGGATTTCAGCTCTACCAACTATTTCAATAGCCACGCCAGGGATAATGTGGGCAAGATTAGGTGGCGTTCCTTGCAGATACATTTAGTTTTCACAAGTTTTTCTGTAACAATGGCTAATATGTATTACTTAAGCACTGTTCTAAGTCCTTTTACATGGCACCACAACAATTTCTTGTGGTAAATGCTATCACTGTCCCCCTTAAGACATGAGGACATCGAGGCACAGAGCGATGAAGCCATGTGACCAAGGACATGCAGAGAGTAGCTGGCAGCACTCTCTGGGGTCCGGGCTCACACAGGCTGGTTCCAGCGTCCGTACTGTTAACCACTACTGGGCTCCGTTCAAAACCACAAAAGCAGGGGGCGAAGTCTTCTTAAAATCACACATTCTTGGAAGACGGGGCTACTAAAGCTAAAGCTCTAAAGCCCTAAAACTAAAGAAAAAGCACGTGCCTTTCTGATTAAATAGAGACTAGGAACAGACCTGATATAATCAGAACACCCAGAGAGGCATAATAAAATAAATAACTAAAGGATGTGGAGGGAGAAAGGAGGCCAGTGGAGTCTTCCCTACCCATTTCCTGCTGCAACCTGCCCGTTGTTCAGGGCTGCCTGTTTGTAGCAACTCAAGTTCCGCGTCTCCTCACCTCTAAGTAGGCCGACAAGGTCATGTAGATCTTTTCCCCGTAGGGTGTTACTCGGTTGAGAAGAAGGGAGTTATGGAGGGAGCTGTCCCACACGGCCTCAAAGCGGTAGAAGGTCCTAAGGGCAGAAAGGCAAGGAGTCATCCAAAAGAAGCTGAAGTCACCTGAGTCCAGAAACTGTCACTGTCAGTAACATTACAGGATCGTATGCCAATCAACGTTTTCAATTTACTGAAATCCAGCAGCAGAGGGGAACCTTTACCTCCTGGGAGAAAAAGGTAGCCCCCCCCCCCCCCAGCCGCCCCCATCATCAAAGGACACTCGGCTTTGCTATTTTTTTGGTGGTAGTGGAACGAGTCTGCTTCTCCTCTGCCTAAAACATAAAAACAGTGAGATCAACCAAAGGGGTTAGGATGGAAAGGGTGAGTATGGACAAAAACTGAAAGAAGAAAGAAAAACTAAGTACGCTCATCTGAGAGCAGGAAGCAAATACTCAGTAATTTGTAAGCTGCAGTCTTCATATCACAATCCAGTATTGCTGAGCCCCAGAAAAGTCACAAACCTATCTGGGAGAATTCATGAAGGAACAAGTAGAGACAACCTTGTTTTAAATAAAAGAGCAAGAGGTTATTCTCCGCTGATGTTTCAGTAAATGATTTTTAATCACAAAGCTAGCCAACTATTATTTGTCAGTTTTCCAAAAAAATTCACTTGAAAGTCAATCTTCCATTTAAATAACTAGAAGCATGATTTAACAGACACTAACATTTTAAAAGTTGTCCTAATAGCTTCCTTTTTGCCACGGGCAAAACAACAGCCCCTAACCGACATTAACCCTCCAGGCCGCACACTGCGTCTGAAGCAAGGGGCTGAGTGACAGCAGCGCTACAGACTGTCCCCCAACACTACTCGGGCTCCTTCTCGGACCCCCGGAAACAGTGTTGGGGGAGACACCCTGTCACCCCAGCAGAGTGGATTTCCCACCGCCACTGCTCTCCGCAGGCGTACTACACCTCACCCGATCCAACACGTCTTAGACGCCTGTTCCCTGCGCCACACCTCCCTCCTGCCCACTGGTGCTCTCTGTCCCAGGCTTCCTGTGACAAATGGCTGGCATATCTTTAAACTGTTCCCACGATTCTTTCTCTAGAAACAATACAGAGAGAACAATCCACTTCTAAAAGAACTCCTTAACCACACCCATCCTCCAAGTGTCGGTGTGTGAAGCCTGATCATTTCAGTGTGTAGCTGCTTCTAGATCTAAGTCTTCTTGAAGCACTTGAAGCTTTTTAAAAACATCTAGTGTTTCAGGCAGCGTGTACGGATTGAGAAAATTCTCCACAAGGCCACGAAAGGAATGGAGACACAACCAACATGACAAAGATGGAGAAAACCACCAAGAGACCCAAATAATAACCATGACAAAGGACAATGGAAGCCTTCCCCTGGCTCCTGAGCTCACTGGACTCAGCAGGGAACCCTTTGTGCACCCCCAATGCCCTGTTTGGATCAAGTCTTCACTTTAATTTGGTTTGAGACTAATTCAACACTGGATGGCAATCCCACCACTTCGGCGGGAGCCACTGTGGGCTCTGTCCCCTGAGACTGCTCTTTCATGGCACCTCTGTTTGCGGAGGTGGAACAGGGCCTTACCTGACACATCTGGAGGTCTGGACACACCCCTGCGGAGTGGAAGGAACCCCCTTCTTAGAGGGAGGGCATCTGTTAACTCAGAGACCCCTTAACAGATGGTCCTCTCACTGCTGCCTGCAATTTGAAACCACACTGCAGCACCTCCCACCGCCATGGTTTAGGCTTCATGACTCTTTCTCAAATGAGGCAAATGTTTTAAATTTGTGTAAGAAAACCTCTTCACGTTTTTGTTTTCAGGTTTTCCCTTAACCCAAGGAGAAAATTTCACTGGTAGAAACTTGCCAAACATAAAGGAATTTTTAAAAATTGATTTGAGAGAGAGAGAGGAAGGGGGAGGCGGAGAGGATAAGAGGGGGAGAGAGAGGGAGAGAGAGAGAAACATCAATTTGTTACTCCATTTATTTATGCATTCCATGTTTGATTCCTGTATGTGTCCTGACTGGAGATCAAACTCGCAACCTTAATGAACAGGGGCCATGCACTAACCAACTGGGCTACCCAGCCAGGGCTCATACAGGAATTTTTAATATATATATATATATATATATATATATATATATATATATATATATATATATATATATATATATATATATATATATATATATATTTATTTATTTATTTTTTATTACATTCTTTCTTTTTAAAGATTTTATTTATTTTTAGAGAGGGGAAGCGAGGGAGAGAAAGAAACATTGATCTCCTGTTGCCTCTTGCACGCCCCCAACTGGGCACCTGACCTGCACCCCAGGCACGTGCCCTGATTTGGAATCAAACAGGTGACCTTTTGGTTTGGTTCACAGGCTGATGTTCAACCCACTGAGCCACACCAGCCAGGGCCCATAAAGGAATTTTTGACTCCACTGAAATCTTCCGGTATTTTGTGTGCGTGCGTGCGTGTGGTGCGGGGGAGTAGTTTCTTTTTGGTTTTGTTTTATTTGGTGCTTGGGAGTTACCACAGCACATTCTTTTAGAATATCCACCAAGGGTGGCAATTTTTGACAGGTGGTTGTAAGAAATACAACCATGTCAAGACAGGTGAGAAATGTCAACTGAGTCAGCTAGCAAGAGAATTTAGAGTTAGACACAGGGCTAAATCCGAAGACATGGTTTCCTGTATGGCTCTTACTGTGGTTAGAAAATGATCTTAAATGGATTTCTCAAATGTCTGAACAATGGTTGTGTGTGTGTGTGTGTGTGTGTGTGTTAAAAAAAAACAAAACATCAATGAATTTTAGGCCACATTGCCATGTATCCCTTTTTTTCTTCCCTAAACTGAATAAAGAGAGAGATGGGAAAATTTTCCTTCACTGTTTTTTCATATTCAAAAGAAGAAAATAAACAGATGAGACAGGCAGCCTTGACAGGAGAAAAGTTTAACAATAAAAATATTTCTCACAGACTCAGCTACCCAAATAGCTAAATTGGTCTCTACTAGCATTTAGGACAAAAACAAAGAAAAAAAGCTAATGATTATGCAAAGCTACATACAGAGCAACAAACTTTTCAAGCTTCTGACAGAAAGCAGACTAAGGGAAGAGGAAACAAAGCCTGAGATTCTCTGTGAAATGAGGGAGTAACATTCTATTTTGTAGGGTAGGAGGGAAAACCTTGAGGGGCACAAGAATAAAACGGACAAGTTTAGTAAATGGGGTGAGAAAATAAGGAAGAATCACACAAATCCCTTAAGAAGGTGTGTGTGACGTTCTGCACACGCCAGAAAGTCCAGGGCATAACAGGTGCAGAACAGCTTCTCTCTGTTCCAGGTTCGCTGAGATTCGCGTGGGGGAAACACTGAATTAAAATAGCAGTCAAGGCAACACAAGACACAAAGCATCGATAAACTAGAATCTCTATGTGCAAAAAAGCAAACGGAAAATACCTAGGAATATCCTTATCAAGAAAGAGCCTGCAAAAACACAGAAAAAGCTTTTGTTAGTGAAGCAAAAAAAAAAAAAGAGAGAGAGAGAGAGAGAGGAAAGTAGAAGAAAATATATAAAAAAGACAAACTTGCTGTTAGGCAAAATTCAAGTAGACATTTAGCAGAGAACTCAATGGCATGCAATTTATGGAGGAATCACAACAATGACACGGGTCCCTCTGCCGAGACAGGCGGTTACAGAAAACGCTGGGCACAGGAGGGAACATGGACACAGCCTCTACTAACATCCCTTTCTTGGGGACTAAGCACTGGAAATGGCGGGAAGCTGCTGTGGAGTCAGGGGAAACAAGTCCGTAAGGCAAGTAACGTAAGTGTAGGACTTGGAGGGAAAGGAGTGATGAACCTTGTGAGTCACACTCCAGTATCAGTTTATCAGAAAAGCCCTCTACCTTACATACACAACACTCCCAAACTGCAGTTCTGTAAGCTCAACTGTAAACATCGAACCCTAGGCAAACAGAACAAAAGTTCTCTTAACCAAACTCCACTTAGTAACTTACCACGTTGACTTACGTTTTCCTTGTCCCTAAAATATGAAGACTGATGTCCATTTCTCACTGAATATTCAAAACTAGAGATATTTCTCCTATATTCAGACTATTTGTTCCAAAGAGGTGAGCTGTAAGCTTATCAAGTATCAGTAATATTTGGTCCCAAACCTGTTTATGCAGTTATATTGGTTAAAAATCTAATTTAATTAAATATTAGGCAAATCAGTAAGACATGAGGGCAGAAAGAATTTTTGTTCAGTGTGAATCACAACTAAGTGTAAAAATCACTTGACCATTTCAAAAAGATTTGATAATGGTGAGTTGTGTAAAAAACAGTTAAGTGTAGGTGAGGTCAATGTAAAAGAAAGAGAAAATAATAAAAGATTTGGCACTTCAGATTTTTAAAAATTTCATTTGGAATACAGTTGTCCTGATTTCCCCTGCTTTGCTCCCCTCCACCTAGCGCCCCTCATCCCCTCAGGAAATCCCCCCACCATTGTTCCTGTCCATGGGTCATGCGCAGAAGTTCTCTGGCTACTCTATTTCCTACCCTGCACTTTACATCCCCGTGGCTACCCTGTAACTACCTGTTTGTACTCCTTAATCCCCTCCCCTCTTCACCCATTATGCCCCACGCCCCTCCCATCTGGCAACCATCAAAATGCTCTCTGTGCCAGTGAGTCTATCTCTGTTCTACTTGTTTGCTTAGTTTGTTTCTTAGATTCAGTTGTTGACAGGTATGTATTTACTGCCATTTTATTGTTCATACTTTTGATCTTCTTTTTCTTAAATAAGTCCCTTTAACATTTCATATAATAATGGTTTAGGGATAATGAACTCCTTGTTTTTTCTTGTCTGGGAAGCTCTTTATCTGTCCTTTGATTCTAAATGATAGCTTTGCTGGATAGAGTAATCTTAGCTGTTTAAGTCCCTGCTTTTCATGTCTTTGAATATTCCTTGCCAATCCCTTCTGGCCTGAAAACTTTCTTTTGAGAAATCAGCTGACAGTCTTATGGGAATGCCCCTGTAGGTAACTAAGTGTTTTTCTCTTGCTGCTTTTAAGATTCTCTCTTTATCTTTGACCTTTGGCATTTTAATTATGATGTGTCTTGGGGTGGGCCTCTTTGTACCCATCTTGTTTGGAACTCTCTGTGTTTCCTAGACTTGCCTGTCTATTTCCTTCACCAAATTAGGGACGTTTTCTCTCACTATTTCTTCAGATAGATTTCCAATTTCTTGCTTTTTCTCTCCTCCTTCTGGCACTCCTATGGTGAGAATGTTGGAACGCTTGAAGTTGTCCCAGAGGCTGCTTACACCATCCTTGTTTTTTTAGATTCTTTTTTCTTCCTGTTGTTCTGATTGGCTGGTTTTTGCTTCCTTATGTTCCAAATCATTGATTTCATTCTAGGCTTTATTTGCTCTACTGTTGTTTCCCTATAAATTGTTCTTTATTTCAATTAATGTATCCTTTTTTTAAATCGTTATTCAAGTACAGTTGTCTTCCTTTGTTTCTGACTGGATCTTTTTTATGCTGCTGAGGTTCTCACTAAGTTCCTTGAGCATCCTTATAATCAATGTTTTGGTCTCTGCATCTGATAGGTTGTTCATCTCCATTTAGGTATTTTTCTGGAGTCTTTATCTGTTCTTTCATTTGGGCCAGGTGTCTTTGTCTCATTTTAGCAGCCTCCCTATATTTGTTTCTATGTATTAGATAGAGCTGCCATGACTCCCTGGCTTGGTAGCACAGCCTCATATAGTAGGTGTCCTGTAGGGTCCAGTGGCACAGATTCCCCATCACCAAAGCTGGGTACCTGAGGTGTGCCCTTTGTGTGGGCTGAGTACACCTCCTCTTTTAGTTGAACTTTGGTTGCTATTGGCAAGTCAGTGGGAGGGATTTTCTCAGGCCAATCAGCTGCAATGGCTGACCAGCAACCTCTGCCCTCCAAGGAGGATCAGCTGTGTAGGAGTAGGGTCATGATGCTCCAACATGGACTGTAGCTGACCACTGGGTGTGCAGGCCCTGGGGTTTCCCGGGTGACACAGGCCAAGGCCAGACCCCACCTGTGATCCTCCCAGGGCCATACTGCATGAGCTCTAAATCAATCTGGGATGGCTGCTATTTGTGCGGGGCTTGGAGAGTCCCAGGCAAAGCCAAGCTGTGAATCTAGGCTGGCTGCCGCTAGTGCCAGGCCTGGGCCATTTAGCAAGAGGAACAGGAATAGAGGCTCACTGAGGCAGCTATTGATTGATAAAATTTAGGAAGACATGAAGCATAAGCCCAAACCAGCCATTCACACGGAAAAGTCAGGGTTAACAGTTTGGGTTGGTTGGCTCATAAGTTGGGCAGGACAAAGTCTCGGAGTCTCGTGGTCTCCAGAGCAGGGCAGTGTTAGCCAGGCTGATGGGGTCTCGGACATGGCACCCACTTGCTGGCTCTGTGGCTGTCAGGGGAGGGCTCTGGAAAGAGACAACAGCCTCTTCCCACCTTTCTGTCCAGAAGAAAACTGTCCCCCAGCTCTGACCTGGATTCCCGACATTTCGGTCCCCCCTGTATGCCACTGGTGCCTTTCAAGCTGCTGCCCCAGTGCTGGAGCTCACAGGGAGTGGATCCGAGTAAGTCTGTGTGGGTTCTTTAAGGGGAACTGCTTGGAACTCCAAAAGTTTCTTCCACTGACTCAATCCCTGCTGGTTTTTGCAGCCAGAAGTTGTGGGGACTTATCTATCTTCCTGGCACTGGAGCCCTGGGCCGGGGGGCTTGGTGTGGGGCTGGGACTCCTTGCTCCCAAGATATCCCTCCCAAATTTTTATCTACCACATGTGGATGTGAGCCCAGGTCCTTCCCCATCTCCACCCCGCTTCCCAATCTGGATGGATGTGGTTTCTCTAATTCTGTAGCTGTTGGACTTGGATTCAACTTGACCTCTGACAGTTCTGAGTGACGGCTGTCCTACAATTCAGTTGTGGTTCTGATGAGGTTGTGCGAGGAGGCGCTCCACGTTTGCCTGTGCTGGCGCCGTGACCCGAGGTCAGCGCCCAGAGCTTCCTCTCAGGTTTCTAGCTCTTGTTCCGCCAAGTTGAAATCCACAGACAGTGAATGATACATGTGGTTTCGCAAGAAAGACAACCAGACATCCAATAAATCCCCCTACAGCTGAAGAAAAGGCCTTGGCCCGACAGCAAGAGCTTGACAAATTAATGTATGTTTACATAGTTTAAATTAAAACAAACATATTTAAAGTGTTCTTGATTTAGTCAACTTTTTTGATTAACACTAAGTTCCTATCATGAAAGATAAGCTGCTTCTGTCAAAGCTGAATTCTTCCCCTACAGCATCTGACTTGCTGCTGGGCACGAAAGAAAGGGTTTCTGAAGGCTATTCTAACGTAGGCAAGCTTAGCACAACCAGCATTTCAACCTAACACCGTGCATTTTGCCGGGTACCCTAGGGAAATTTACCATACACTTCTCACAGTTGCAAAGAAAATGTGGTGAATGCCGCTGATTATCCGCTGTGAACGTCCAGCAGAACTCAAAACACTGTAAGGAGCCGGCGCTGACTTGAGAGAAGGGTACTGCTCAAGATTCTAGGTCAGGGAGGGTCCACGCTTCCTTCCTCATTTCTGCCGCCCATCCCCGCACACACACACCCTTTGGGACCTCTGCCGGCCCTTTCCACAGCCGCCGCCAGCGACTCCTGCAGGCAAAAAGCAGATGCTTGTTTCCTTTTTCTCCTTCCTACACAAAACTATGACATTTCCTTCCTATACAAGGAAATAATGGGAAAAAATTAATCCTGGCCCAAACTTTTAATTCTGTTTTTCCCCATTCTCTTGTTTTTCCTCTCCCTCTTCCCAATACAGCCGCGAGCAAGTTCTTCAAGAGCAGGTAAGCACAGAGAAGCCCTGTAATGCAAAGGCAGCATTCTAAGCCCACGTCAGAACGCACGGGCTTCCCGCCCAGCCCGTAACTATGTAACAGAACGGATCTCCGTGCACAGCAGCCGAGCGCCTTTCCTGGGGAGGTAAGAGGGCCCAGCAGATAATTTCCAGTTTGACACGGAAAAGTGGAACGGTTATGTACTTTATGCACTGTCTCTCATCAATTGATTAAAAGTGGAATTTTAAGGAAAACGAATTTAAAATTAAAAGACGGCCTATACTGGTAGCAGCAACAACTACACACAAGAGGGCTCGCCGCCCGGGGAGGTCGCGTTTCCAGGTCACCGAGGACTGAGAGAGCCTTCTCCACAGCCGCCACTTCACAGACAGAGCCTTTAGCCTTGGCAGTACTGACTTTGTGCTGTTCACGCCACCGGAGGGCACGCTGCTAGCATTCTTCGCCTGCCTTTTCTCGTTCGCTGTGTCGCATCTACTGCACACAGGAAAGAACATTTCCATTCTCTGAGGGTCACTAATCACACACACACACCTCCCATTATTCATGTACTTATTTGGGGGAGGCGGGGCGGGGGCGGGGGCAGGAGAAGAAACAGGAGGTTTGGAGTGAGAAGGAGATTAGTTTCCTCGCCTCAGTGGGAGTCGCTAACGCTAACGAAGGAGGAATCCAACAGCGCGTGGGTCAGCCTGCGGGGCCTACTCATCACACTGCTGAGGGTGCCCACCTGCTGGAGTTGTGGGACGACTTCAGGTACTTGGCAGAGATGATATTTAGGGAGAGGATGGCATCCACGGCAGCTTCGTCCACCTCGGCCTTATTCCGAATCCGGCCTGAAGAAATAAAGAAACCAGAACATGGGTACATTTTAAAAAGAAAGCATTTGTTCAGTTTTGTGTAAGAATCCATATAAGGATTAATTTTGAGAAAGCCTGAACCCTACTGTCCCAAACAGGAGAGAGTATACTTTTCCTCCCAGGGGTTTACCCTGGTCCACAGACACCCGACGGGTCTATGGACAGACTTCAAAATGTCCGTGAATGTGACTAGAAAAAAACTCCAACTTTATTTTCATGAACCTCTAACTGAAGTCCAGCATTTCCTGCCATCATGGAGGGAGGGGATAAGCCGCAGGAGAATTAGCAGTGCCTATGACTCCCTCCCCAGTAGGGATCACGGATGCCTTCATAACACACTGATACAAAATATCTTCACATTCGTCTCTGGTCCTGAACTATAGAAATTCCATCTACTGACTGATGCAGCAACATAGAAGAGCTTAGGTTACAAATTTGTTTAGTATTTTAACAATTCTGTTTCAATATTATTAGTTCCCCCTGTAATCCTAAATACTTTATTTTTTATATTTAAAAACATCATTCTGCCCTGGCTGGTGTGGTTCAGTGGATTGAGGGTGGGCCTGCAGACCAAAGGGTCGCTGGTTCTATTCCCAGTCAGGGCACGTGCCTGAGTTGCAGGTCAGGTCCCCAGTAGGGGGCGTGTGAGAGGCGACCACACATTGATGTTTCTCTCCTCTTCCTCCTCCCTTTCCCTCTCTCTATAAATAAATAAATAAATAAATAAATAAATAAAATCTTTAAAAACAAAACAAACCAAACCAACCCACAACTCTGAGGTTTCACCACTGTCAAAGGGCCGAAGGCAAGAGAAGGCTCAGGACCCCTGACACACTCTTCTAAAGGTTAGGCTGCTCAGCCAAGTTTTCCCCCTCACCACGCCTTAGTTTAGCTTCTCCGCTCTGCCTATGGGCTACTGGCCATATGCACGTTAGACATACTCCCGACTTTCTCCCTTTAAATGTTTATGTGGAAAACAAAACAAATCCCCTCTCGTTTCCCTGGAACCCACTCAGATCTTTTTCACTGGTTCTCATTTTGGTACTTATGTATCGAACTGCTTTGTACACGTGTATGTTGCCTCTTCAAATGAAGGGCCAGCTCACGGCGAGCAGAGCCTTCTGGCGCAGGACCACTCCCACAGCAACGGAGGAAAACAACGCTGCGTGGCGCACCCCTGACGACGGAGCTGAGAAAAAGGAGCAGTTTCGGCCTCACGGCCTCTGTGCCCCCAGCGCAGTCTCACACGTTCCCTGGGCCCCCGACAGGAAGAATGCAGTCTCTGAAAAGCCCGGCTCCGTCCTTAGCTGGCAGCACGCACTCACCTACCACCAGCTCACGAACATCTTTCCAGTGGAGCTCACTTCCCTTCTCGTGGATAATGGTCACTGTGATCCTTCGCTGGATGCCCTAGGTAACGGAGCAGGGCTGTCTGTTAGCTAGGACAAACTACCATTTCCTCTCGTTGGTTGTTTTCTGGATTGTTCGGTATCAGGAGAGGCAGGAAAGAGGGGCAGGAGACAAGGGGAAAGGTGCCGTCCACACTGTTGTTCTCAACAACGGGACACAGGTCAGGGACTGGGGAAGAGCCAGGTTCTGCCACGGCTTTAAGAACAGATGCCCAGATTGTATGTCACAGAGCATGAGACTCCCAGCTGTTCTGCCCACAGCTACATTCCCACAGTTCATGGCCAGATTTTTGATCCACTGGAACCTTCATCCTCTGTCTCCATTAAGAACTTCTGCTGTGAAAGCAGTTTCCAAACATCACAAAATGAAAATTGTATGAAATGACATGGAAAATGAATAGATTATAGTAACTGAATGAGGCAAAATCTTTGATCAAAATAGTTCTTCATTATATTAATATATAAAAGCAAAGGTATGCGTAAGCTAAGGTCTGAGGAAGAAACATTAAAAACAAACATACAAAAAGGAAAATAAAAAAGAACAGAACAGTGTCCCCCTACGTCCAAATCCCTTACAAATGAAAGGGAAAAGCAGATATTCAGAGTTACGTTTCTTATTCGAGACTCCTATTTCTGCTCCCTTCGTAGTACCTGGTGAAGCAGAAATGTCCCCTGGCAGGGCAAGCCGGCTGTGTGGTCAACCACGGCTGGGATGTACCTACAGAAACAGAAGGGCAAGAGAAAGAAGTCAGACAGAACGTTCCCGAGGACCAGTGCTGCTTCTGCGACAAGGTCCTGCTCCAGCAGTCTTTGTTTTCTAAACTCCGCCCCACGTCTTTCTCGCCATCCGGGCATTTAGTCACTCGGTCACCTGCATCTCGTAAACCTCTTCACCTTATCCGTCTCTTCATCCCCACTACCCTGAAGTGCTCAAAGGACAGTAACATCTTCTCACTCCATCCCTGCCCCTCGCACAACAGGAATTCCATAGAAAATGTGTAACCATGATAGCAAGTGTGAGAAGAGAAGAGCTCATTTCAGATTCTAGATAATTTTACACAAATTAGAAAGAAATGAACTCTGTAGAAATCATTACTGTAACTACTTCTCCTATAATGCCAGTTACAGTCACATTATAGACCTGTCTATGCAAAGTCTTATTCCCTAAAGCAATGTTTCTGACAACTGCAGCCAGGGTCGACAGAGTCATACCCCCATGGAGTAGGAACTCTGTGACTGTTCCATGGAGATGTGCGTAATGGCGGTGGCACTCAGCGTTTATACGCTACAAAGAGGATCATCAGGATGACATTCATCCCCTACCCTCTACATTAACTAACAGAGCCTCTTGCCTCTGTTTCAGGAGGGGTCCTTTTTCATGTTACTTCTAAAAGTATTTTAGAGGTAACTATAAATAATAGTAACAGTCACCACTTTCGCTCATACAGGGAAAGTCAGCTGATGCTGATTATCTTGATCTGGGACAATGGTCCTCAGCTGGGAGTGATTTTGTTCCCTAGGGCAGTGGTCCAGTATTTGGCGATGCCTGAAGACATTTCTGATTGTAACGGCTGAAGGGGAGGTGCTACTGGCATCAAGTGGGTAGAAGCCATGGTTGTGGCTATTCCACAACACACAGGGTAACCCCCGACAACAGAATTACTCGGCCCCAAACGGTGCCAAGGCTGAGAAATCCTGATCTAGGTAAATACTCACTGAGGTTATTAATGCAAGTCTTGACAATATATTGTGTGCAAAATGCCTCTGACTCCCTTGCTTTACTGCTGATAAAACCCACTGCGTAGGTTGTCTTCCCTCCTGACCAAGTGCCAGTCACCATGAGCTTGCTGTTGCTAACAAGAAGGTAAATTATTATCCTAAGTATTGGGCTGGCCAAAAAGACTATTTAGGTTTTTCCATAAAAGGAAAGACATTTTTCATTTTCACCAATAACTTGATTTGGATACTTTGTGTATGTCGGCCATCTCCCGCTATTTGGCTTCTAGTGGGTGCATGCTAACCATCCCCCAATGCATGAAACAGCCCCACAGCAAACCACCTCTGACACGTGCGAGCCGTCACAGCACCGTCTCCATCACTGCACAAATCTTTTTTGTGTTTCAGTGGCGGTTTTTTTGCCTTTCCTGAAGCAATAAAGCATAATATGCTGAAAATGTTACGTATCTTCTTCTACCTTCAATACTAAAATGGTTGCACAAAAATTCACCAATTTTGATAAATTCTTTTTTTAATGCACACAGATAGGACAGCTATCATAATACAATCTAACAAAATTGTCCTGAATGAAGTTAAAGACAACAAGCACTACTGAAGCCATCGTATGGAAAAACACTAAACAACCTTTTTGGCCAACCCGACAGTCAGTTCTCTGACAAACACCTGATTCAAAGAATAATATCAAGACCACCAAAGTTCAATTCAAAACTGAATTTGACAGTGACAATGATTCATGAACCTGAATATAAGAAGACAGGCTCAAAATTACGATTTCTGATTTCGAAAAACTTTGCCTTTTTCTTCTTAAACAACAAACAAACAAACACTTTGCCTTATTTAAAAGTGGAGACACTCGGACTTACTCTCCCGTCGGCTCCAGTTCGCTGATCTCAAACCAAACCAGGAGGTCGTACTTGCTCATGCTCTGGCCAAGGCTGGTTTTGCTCATGGTGTTCAACTTGGTGGCTGGAACTTTTAAAAAAGTTTTAGAAAAAGTAAAAATCTGATCCAAGTCTACTCAGTAAAAGTACATGCATTTTGAATGCCAGTCTTCAAGGACACACTTGGGAAAGGCAGCAAGAGGCAGGGGATAGGTTTCAATGAACAAGACCCAGAGAAACGTCAACATCAACCATGTCAGAACCTCCACATTCAGGGAACAAGGAGAGGGGAGGGTCCGGACCCTTCTTCCTCTCAACAACTGCACCCAAAGATAAAACAGGCTTCGTGCAGAGTGAATGTGCGCACAGAACCATTAAAAACCTCTCACAGGCCCTGTACCTCACAGCTGGGGTAGGAGAGCACAGACCTATCCTCCAGCCCAGGGGTTCCTGAATCTCCCCGCCCACGAGAACCGCCCAGGGGTGTTAAAGATGGCAAAGCCCAGGCTGCACCCTCGTCCATTAAATCACAATCCCTAGGGCTAGGATTCAGTCCCGAGAGGTTTAAAACTCCCCAGGTGATTCCAATGTGCAGACAAGTTTGGGAATCATAGGTATGACCTCTAAATACAGGATTCTGTAAATGTCTCATTACACATTTTCTTCAAATTTAAATTCCATATTCTTAACTGTACATTATGATGAAATACATTAGCCAAAACCCAGTACTTCAAGAATTTCAGATTCTACATAATGGGCATCTTGAAACACAGCACAGAAACTCTGAAATCCGGCAATGCAAAGAGGGTTCTGTGCTCAAAACCTGAGAACTCTAGAATGAGAGTCTAGTGACTTGGGATCTAATTATTGTTCAACCACTAAAGAGCTACGTGACTTTGGTTGAGTCACTTACCCTCTGGGCATCTGTCTCATCGTCTATAAAATGCAGATCATGATATTTCGCCTGCTATCTCAAAAATGTAATACGAGGGTCCCCTGACACAAGAGAGCTCAAGGGGCCGTGTGAGCAGCACAGCACTGCTCACACATGCAGCCTGTTGGCATCACCCGCCCCGGCTGAATTCCACGTGAGCTGGCGATGCTAGTTTGGAGGAAGACAGTGTTATTGACTCTGGCAGTCATCTAAGGGTCAGAAGCAAAACCAGAAGCATTGAAAAACAAAAACAAAACCACGTAATAGTAAAAATCCTTCAAGTTAAAAATACTAATTGAAAGACACCAAACGAACGAATATAAGCAGCCCTCACCCCCAGGCTGCGGTGAAAGAGGCACAAGTGGACAGGGTGCTTCCTAAAATCTCTCTGAGGCAAATGTGACAGGATCTTGTCACTGTCTGAACTCTGCATTCGGCTCAGGTAGCAAACAGGAAGGCCGGCGTCTCACACCGAGAGCCAGGCTTCAGGACAAGCCCCTGCGGATGGCTCTACACTTAGGCAGAGCTAATTGAGCTACTAACCATTTGGTCTAGGTACCCCTCACTCTGGCAGCTGGGAACTGGCAGACAGAGGAGAGGCGGCACAGGGTCAGCCCCATCCTGGAAGGTGGCAGCGCTCAGAAAATGCGTCCAACACACGCACAGTCACACAGCCAGACACGAGAAACCGCGCCAGTTCAACCTTTCTGTCACGGTCTGAAGGCAGGACGGAGGTGAGCAGTACAGAGGGTGGGGAATGAGCACAGGGCGGGGTGGGAGTGTGGGCAATGAGGGAAAAGGATGGGAATAAAGAAAAATCAAAACAAGAAAAATGAACGTGCAGGATACATTTAATGTGTGAAGAAAGGCCCAGTCACCAGACAGTTATGGGGAGGTGCACACAAAGCGGAGAGGTTTAGGAACAGGGGGCTCATGAAAACTGACAATAAGACGACCAGAGAACTGCAGTAACAGAGTCCTATTGTTCCTTACTTCTTATGTTAAACCAGGAGCCAAGAGCTCTAGTTCCTGACAGACACAAGAATATGTAAGGATACACAGAAATGGAGCAGGAACTTGAATGTGATTTTTATCTGACAAGTCATTCAGAAAGGAGATGTCTGCACACAGAGAACATCATGCAGAGAGTGCGGCTGCAGCTCACCTGGCTTGGAGAGCGGCATGGGCGGAGGGAAGAATCGTCGCGATGGCTGAGGCGGACTGCAAAGAAGGAAGACGCAGATCTCAGAGACTAAAAAGAGGGTCATGGCAATAATAAGGGCACATCTGAGTCCCTTCGGACACAGATGGTCTGTACTTTCAACCCCAGCACAGTATCAGATTCCAGGCATAATTCCACAGAGTAAAACTGAGGCTCAGACATTCTACCAAAAGTTTCTTTCTAAGTCGTAGCTAATAAATGAAATAGGAGAATTTTTCTGTTAATACTGTCACTCTGCCATCACCCCAAAGTCCCCTCGGTTGCTCTCCTCACCGATTTTGATGTCTCCACTTAGAGCTTATGCTTCATAACGTTCTGGGTGGTTAGCAACAATTACACACAATTTCATGTTACATCCCTGTCACCTCACCTTTCAGTCCTATTCAAAGTCTCTTCCTACAAAAATAGCACTCAGGATCACCCGGGAAAAACTCACTTGGCTCTACCTACAATTAGTGATTAGGTGGCTTAGGAGGCAAGGTGGTGAAGTTTCTAAAGAGGAAACAATGGGCAACATATACACGGTTATTTAGTTATCTTAATCCTTCAAAAGATTTCTTTCCAGCAAATGACAATAACAACGATAATACCAACAACAAAAATCTTTGCTCGTTTGGCCCTAACCTGTTAAGGTCCTGCCCTTGCAGGTGAGGTGGATGCTGCTGATAATGCCCGAAGACTTCAAATACTATAGGCTTGGTTTTGATGTATTCCACAAACGATTCCGTGACCTCCACCGCAATCTAATAAGGAATAAAGCCAAGCTAGATTAGGGAAAGACTTATCATAAGAAAACAGACAGTTTTGCTGAGTCCTCAGTAGGCACTGGGCGTTTTATTATGCAGGCCTCCCACACAAAGATAAGCTGGGGTCTCCTCTCCAGCTTTCCTTCGGAAGTAACTTCACTGAGCTTCAGGCATTCAAGGCCCTCCAGCACCAACCTGAACGGCCCCTGCCGCCCTTCACACACTCACTGTCCCAGCTTAACCAAACTCACCTGCTCTCCCCTCTGCTGCGCCTGAGGACGGCCCCAGGCTGCAGCCCCCCTGCAAGGCCTTCCGCATCCCCACGTCTCTAAGTCATTCCTAGATTTCAAGGCCCAGCTCAGAAATAGTAACAACACTAAGGAAAACATGACCGTTGACCCTGTGCCAGGTCCAATGCCAAATCCGACCCACCTTTTTAGGCTTTTATTTTTTTAGACAGAGAAAGGAAATGAGGGGAGGAAAGAGAGAGATTTTTTAAAATTCTGCCCATCCATGCATTCATTGGTTGCTTCTTGTCTGTGCCCTGACAAGGGATAAACCCACATCCCAGGTGGCGTACTGGGATGATGCTTTAACCAACTGAGCTCCCCGGCCAGGGCTGACCCACCTTCTCTTATTTATACTGTGTCCTCCCGGAAAGTCCCCCACTTCCTTTCTATGCCCAACCATCCACCCCCAACAAAAAAAGTAAAAAGTACCTTTCTGTTCATGGAAATTACTTTTCCTTCTCTCTCCTCCCATAGCATTTAATGAATACCTTTCTAATGTCTCTAGATCTTGTACTGCTGTTGATTCAATGAGCATTTTATTTCCCTATCATAACTGTGAGCTCTCCGGGGATATACTCCTCTGTGATTCCTCTGTGCATTCCCCAGCGTATCAAGCACAGTCCTTGTGCGCAGTAGCCAATCAATGTTTATTGGGTACACGCATACTCATATTTATACAACTAACAATAAAAACAAAATAGCGCGTCCTGTATTTGCCCGTTCCACATCTGGGGCTCTCCTTTCCCCTCATCCTTTAGACAGCGGACATGGCTAACAAGAGAAAGAGAGGCCATTTCGTGTGGTGGTGAAGATCCTGGAAGCCAGAACCACAAGTCTGAGTTCAAGCTCATCCCTGCCTCTTCCTAGCTGTGTACCCTTAGCAGCTCTGTGCCTACGTTATCACAGCAGGAACAAGAGGATTAAGACAGTCTCGGGCATAAAGGTGAGGATTACACAAGTTAAGACACAAAAAATACTGATAACAGTGACTGAAGGGAAAACAGGCTCTCAAGGACTATTAGCTATTGTGATGAGCATGAGGACTTTTGAGTAGAGTTTGAGTGAACCTTCCTGGAAGAGATGGGAGGTCTGTTTTCTTACTCCGCATATGGAAGAGCCGTAAAGGGCACTAATGGATTCATCATAGTATCAGTGGCAAGGAAGACAGAATCTAAATCTTAGTTACAAAGGTATTTAATAGTTTTTATCTTATTTGCAACTGAACAATGTAAGTACCTTACAGTTTTAAGGACAACAAATATATTAACTTTAACAAACTCATACTAAAATGCTTACTTGTCTAGGAAGGAAACACTAAAACAACTCACTCCATCACAGGTGGCAAACACAAGGCCTTCCACCCGTTTTATCCCACCTGGCACCTTGTTTCTCCCCGGCGGCAGCGCCAAGCTCCTTGCCCCTAGTTAAGGAGTAGTTACATGTACACAGTCCTAAATTCAGCCCTTTGAAGGCAACCACGAGGCTGATGTGGCCCCCGGTGAAAATGAGTGTGACACCCCTGCACTACATTCAAAGTGATGGACAATTTTGTTGGCAGATTACTGATGGGGACCACTGTAATTCAGAGAAGGCCAGCTGCTCTGTCCACTCCCTCCACTGTCTACTCTCCCCACAGAGCCTGCCTCGCACAGCACTGTGACCACTGTCCTTCTTGGGCTGAGAAAACCCAAGGGAGCCCACACCTGACAGCCTCACACCGGCCACTTCGAGGCACCACCAACCCACAATACATCTGGCAAAAATGTCCATGTCACTTACATTCTGCACATGATAAAAGCCCAGAGGACTTCCTCTGCCATTGTTTTTGAGGGGTTCAGTGGAGAACGCTTCATCATGACGATGCAAAAAGCTTAATGGAAAAATAAGACACAAGAATTTTTCATTAAATGGTTTCATCAGGATCTACATCACAAGTCACAAACACAAGACCTGCAGGCCGAATACGGGCCTCCACCTTGTTTCTCCCCGGCAGCAGCACCAAGCTCCTTGCCCCCCCGTTAAGCAGTAGTTACATGTACACAGTCCTAAATTACATTCAGTCCTTTGAAGGCAGCCACGAGGCTGATGCGGCCCCCGGTGAAAACGAGTGTGACACCCTTGAATATTGTAAGAGCTCAAATCGGATCATATGGAAAGAAACATCCACTTAAGCAGTCTTTAACTGAGCACATTATTTACATGGTCTTGTCAAAACATTTTCCATACACTCATTTAGATTTCATTTCAAAAATGACTGAAAAATGCACTGGCCTGATCATTTAACTATGTGGATACACATGCAGAAATGCCTTAGAGAGCGTGAATTCCCTGAACTCCCGTTCCTTTGTGGTTTTCACTGGGAATAAAACTTATGAAACTGTTTTGTGTAGAAAAGACCCGGCAGATCCAAGTTTCCACAGGGTATACTAACCCTGTGGGTGGATGGAGTACTTGCCTAGGAGCCTCTCTCAGACCAGCTATAAGCAATGCAAATGCCACCCTTTGCAAAGAGTCTGTCCTAACTCACCCAAATAGTTCTGTGTTCCCACAGCACTAGGAACCTATTTTTCCTCAATAGTGATGATTTCACTGTGTGTAATAATGTATCCATAAGCCCGTCTCCCCAAAAGACAGTGAGTTTTTCCCATAGGCTTAAAATAATAGAAGATACTCCTGAAATATCTGTTGAATCAGTGGGCTATGTTTATTTGTTCTCACAATAGTGAGGTTTTATTATTTTCTCTCCCTCCCTATGATAAGTCTGAAATAAAAAGAAGCAAAGGATTAAAACATCCTCAATACTAAGATTTATTGTCAGAGAGAAATATCCAGCAAAAGGACATCCCACATTCCCACAAGAAAAAAGGAAAAGAATGCTCTGAACAGGGGGCAGAGAGACCAGGATTACGAGCTCCTTGTCTTCCAAATCATTCACTGAGTCTGAGGACTCATCGTACCCAGCAGAGGTGGGTGACCCCCGACCTACACCCCCCCAGTGCTCTGCCTGGAGCAGGTGCAATTATCCTGGGGTTCCACACGGGCGACACGTGAAACCACTCACTTTGCTCCACAACTGTTGTCTTCCCTGCGCAGGCCAGACGAGAGTTTATAAAAACCGTAAAAGGACCCGAGTCTTCTCTCAACACGAGTCAACATGCCCTTTCCTCCAGAGCTAACTCCAGGTAGACATGCTGCTCTTTTTAGGTGGTTTCAGGACAAAAACCAACATCCTGTCATTTCAGACATCAGTTAACCATGTAGGTTTTTCCCACTAAATACAAGGTCCAGCAGAAGTAATAATACCTGCTTGAGTGTGGCTGGTAGGGTAATAATATAGGAGTAATAATTTATAGTTTTAATTTGAACATTTCACCTAAAATGTCATGCTGTGCTTGAGGGTGATATTGTTATGTTACAGAATTGCATGCTTACGATTTTGTAATAAAAAGAGGGGGGTTATTTGTGCTAGACCCTGTACATCAGTTGCCTGAGCAGAATAGTGAAAGTTCCAAAAAACCAATTCACCTAGCCAACTCCATCCCACTCTAAATTTGAAGCTTTTAGTAAAAACACATTAAATGGGCAAAACCAACAGTACCAGATGGATAATATTTTTATGATTATCAGTTACAGAAAATTATACATGTAGCAATCACATTTAGTTCAGGACTGGGCTAAACTCTCCATAAAAGCAATGCTTTGTAAACTGCATTAGGATGCCCAGGAAGACCACATAACGAAGGAGAGGGATGGCACCACTGGGGAACTGGGCTGTAGAAAAGGGATGTCATTCTCTTGTACTGTGGCCCTTCTCAAATACTACAAAGATATATTGATGCTTGAAGGTATTAAAACTTAAGGTTCTCAAAAGAGTGTTGTCCTAGGGAGGTCACAAGAAGAAAGCAGCTACAATACAGAGTCACGAGGGTCACGGGACAGAAAAGGCTGGTAAGTAGATGAGAAATGAAACCTGCCACATCTTCTCAACACACTACTTTCTTTTCAATTGATGTAGAAGCAGATTACTGTTCATTATGTTATTTAAATTTTGTTTCCCAAGTATTAATTAGGCATAATTAGTAAGTAAATAATTCATTGCTTTCAGATTTATTAATAAAACATTTCAGCATAATGAGCACTAGCAAGACTAATAAATAGGCTCATCTGGGCCAGAGCCTGTATTCGCCGCAGACGGCCCCAGTCCACCACAGCACCTGCCAGCAGGAGGCATGGCCACGCCCCTCCCCACCATGAACTGACTCACTTCACTGAAGGTTTCTGGTTCCTAGTCCCATCTCGAGTGAAGAAAGTGTTTCACTCCAGAGACGGGTGGCAGTTATTTCGAGGAGTGTTAGCACCTCACAAATGCAAAGCAGAGACGCCGTCGGGGTTAACAGCTAGCCAGGCGGAGTGAGGGGGCCGCTTACTTGAACTGGCAGAAGATATCCGCGTACTCGGGGAGGATGCCGCTGGCCTGTAACACCGTCACACGGAAAGTGAAGGCACTGCCCAGTTTCAGGTGGTTGCCAATCTCTTCAGAAAACCCTTCCATTACCATCTTCCCATCTAGCAAAGTGCCTGACTTCAAGTCTAAAGAGGGTCAAACAACACACATCTGGCTCAAATAATGCACAGAACACCCTTCAAAGAGGAGAGAGTAGAACATTCTTTCCATTCCTAGTGAATGACAGTGACCATCTTCTTGACAATGGTCGATTATTTCTCCCTCTTTGAAAACGTCCCTAATCAGAGTACGCTGTGTCTACGTACCCAAGTCATTCATTCGATTGATTTCTTCTGGAGGGGTGATGACCTCAGAACTCTGACCCTGTCCTTCCACAATCCTCAGCTCTTCCAAGGACAGACCAGAACGAGTCATTGCAACTGAAGAAAAGTCACTCTGAAAATAAGGCAGGGGGTGGTAGGTGACAAAGTAGTACAATAATACGTTTCCCCCAGTTTCCTTTCTTTTGTTTATTTGCCTAACAAATAATAGTGACTGTAAAATTACGTGGATTAAGAGCTGCCTGAGAAAAGACAATGTAAGAAAATACAAATTACTGGTTTAATTCTTAGATATGTCCCGTATTCTACTGAACACCCTATGGTTGCCTATCCTCTCTAGTTCCAGGTAGAAGAGTTGTTCTCCAGTGCTGAACATCCTTCTTACACAGCAGTCTAGTTTGTTCTCCTTCCATGAGGTGTTCCTCTTCCTGGACGGTGTCTCACCTGATTAAAGTACTCGTTGTCAAAAGATATTTTAGCTGTTCCTGACTGTCGAATTCCAGAGCCATAATCAGGAGCTTCTTCATCCGCTAGGTAGAAGGGGGAAAAAAAAAAAAAAAAAGCAAAGACTGCATGAGACTGCCTATGGGGCAGGGGGAGGACGACTCTCACTGGGTAATACAATAAATAATGAAGCAGTGGAGCCTTAGATTCTGGGAACTTTAATGGGAGAGGAGACCCCAAAGGACGAGCCTTTTTGCTTAAGAAAGAAAACGAAGCAGGAAGGTTACATGAGTTTGTTTGTTTCTTTTTTTTAAGATGTTATTTATTTATTTTTAGAGAGGGAAGGGAGGTAGAAAGAGAGAGAGAGAGAAGCATCAATGTGCAGTTGCTGGGGGCCATGGCCTGCAACCCAGGTATGCGGCCTGACTGGGAATCGAACCTGCGACACTTTGGTTCGCAGCCCGAGCTCAATCCACTGAGCTACGCCAGCTAGGGCGAGCTGCTTGCAGCTCCACTCTTACCTTTACCGACCCCCTCAGCTCAAATGAGACGCATTAATAAAGAATTAGTTTTATTCTTGATACTGTTCAAATGTCATATCTAAAAATACTAATCCTTTCACTTGGCAAGATCATATTCAACAATACTCAATAAATATTTAAAATATTAGACTGTACTTGTGGAGATGTCCCTGAACCCAACACTGGTGATTATGTTACAGATTTCCAGGGGGAGAAGCTGAAAAGTCACTAAACACAGCACAGTAGTTAGAAATTAAAACAGAAAAGTTATAGAAAATATAACCATGTTATAGGAAATACAGCCACATTCTTCCCTCAGAACGTAGGCTGGATCATGGAGAAGTATCAGACCCTTTGTCCATGTATTACAAAACAATAGCTAAAGGACAGAAATGTAAAAGATAAAAAATGTAGCTAAAGGACTTAGAAGTATTCTGAGAGAAGAATTAGGCAAGAAAAAGTCCTGAAAATACTTTATTACTTCTGAAGCAATTAATATACATTATTTAAAATGCAAATGACTTTTATCAAGTTTATCCAAGAGTTGTCCTTCAAGTTAAAGAAAATCCCTTTACCCCCGTATTCCAAAAGCAGTAGCCCCGACTAAACAGAAGCTATTTCTGGTGCTCGGGAACCACAGTTAGAAAGGAGGCAATAAAAGCTTTCTCCCAGACGGACAGACACATGGCAGTCTGCGTGTGCAACTGCGGCGCGGCCCACACAGAACTGCCTGCTTTGTCTCCCGGCAAAGAATCCACAGCTCTCGTGTCAGAGGAGGACCACCTACCTGCAATGGCCTGTACCGCCACGCGCAGAAAGCCCCGCACTTCGCCCTTCTCACTGACAATGGCCACCCTGTGGATCAGGGGCACGGGATACAGCAGATTGCTCAGGTACACAAATGCCCTAGAGACAGAAACCGGGAGACAGACATCTGAGCATCCCACAGACAGAGAAGCTGGCTGTCAAAGTTACTGAAAATACCCTGTGAAACTGGACTGGCTCCTAGGCCCCGTCTCTAGGTTAGCCTCTCTCTCTGCTCTGTGCTCTGACTCCCTCCAGTTGCTTCGTAGCACAGATAACATATAAACAAATGCAAATACTTGGTAACAGTTGACAAAGACTAACTTAAACCAAATTAGTTACTCCTATAAAACTTACTGCTGTAGGTAGAAGAGTAACAATTGGAAGTAGACTTTACAGATGCTAGTCTATAAATGCTTATAAGGGTGGGGGAAAGGGAGCCCATTAAGGAGCTTAACCTTTTAATGTAAGGAATTACAAAGAGGTTTATTTTGTTTCTCTTTTTCCCAATAGATAAAACAGAAAACAGGAGATAAAAAAGGCAGAAGAATGTGACTGAGATAGGTCTAAAATAGATTCCAAGTCACAATGTTATGGGTCTTTATTTTTACTCCAAGAAATGACTAGTATCTTTAAGCAGGGTTATTGACTCATATGGGTGGGGGGAGGCTATGTAGCCAGGAGTTTCTGAGTAGCTTATAGGGAACTCTGGACAGGAATCGAGACAAATGCCAAGGGAGAAGACCACTGATGCATAAAGGGTTGATTTTGATGCTAAGACCCAAAACCTGACTCAGAAATGCATATACAAAAGGTAAGTCACAGATCTAGCCTTCTCTATTTTAAATGAACTGGCAAGGTCCTATTACATTTGTATTCTTTTTTCTTCTTTCATTATTGTAGCTATTGATTTTTGTAAAGCAATAAAAACTGGTGATCACAAAGCTTAGTGAATAAGAAATAGAACGGAGCTCCTACTGTTACTCCTGTCTTCCCACGTGATACATGCTGATCTCCGAACACGAGACAAGACAAAGAGTAAACATCTGCACTGAGAAATCAAACATAGCAACATGACTGATGCATATGCCTGTTTGCTTTTTTTCTTGCTCTGAAAAATCTACTTTAAAACAGAGAAAAGGAAGATGAATGGGTTCTTGGGATTTCAACGCAAAGCAATGAAAACAATTCTGAAAATTGACAAAATACACCACAGAAAAACAAATGTTAAAACTTGAAGAGCATAAATAAAACACAAATGAAGGTATAACGAAGGAACTGCAAATGAACATCAAACCAGATCGAATGATATCTACTTCTCTTTCAGTCTGCTCCAAAGGTGGGAGGGCGAAATGCTAAGAAACAGAGAATTAAAGTTTTGTTGTACAAAAAATTAAAAAGTCTTAACAAGACTCTCAAACGTCAACTACTGTGACAGGGTTTAAAGACTGAGAACTTGGCATAAGGTACCACATGGGTAACTTCACTTCCAAAGCGAGCGAGCACACAGCACAAGACCACCTTCATCTCTTAATGGCGACCCAGCCGGACGTGCCCACTTGCAATGCCTTGGCCACGAGCAGCCACTGCACATGCTCAGCCCAGTGCAGAGTGGAGTCCTCTCTGAACTCCACTGCCTACCTCGTGCCTGTATTCCACATCTTGAAGTCTTATTCCAAACACCAATCTCTGATGCCAGGTCTCCCCAGCATTATATGATCTCAGTAACACACCTAACTCCAGAACTGCTATGGTTTACAACTGGCTTATTTACGTAATTATTTTATTTAACTTGTCTCATCCACCAGACTGTAAACCCATGAGGGCAAGAACCATGTCTGGTCTTGCTGGCCACTGGTGAGTGATTCAACATCTAAGTACATAAATTAATGGGAAAATGAATTGTCCTCTCTTTAAGTACAGGTGGAAGATTTTTCCAGAAAAACAGGTTCCACCAGAGATAGAGAAGCAAAGCCATCCAACTGTGTATTAGGTTAATTTTTCAAAGCATCAGTCACGATGAATATTCATTATATAGAACATGTTTAGATTTATCACTATGCTTAATTTATAATAGTTATCCTTTTTATACTTAAAAATAGCTATTCAAAAACAGGAACGCCTGTTTTTAATTTTAAAAAATCACTACCTGAAGGCACGGCATATCATGTTCACACACGCACATTACAATGAAGTACTGTCTGAGCGCACATTCAAGACAAGACGGCCCTTTCTGCCCATGGCAGTGGCTATTCCAAATGTGGAAGAAGAGAAGTATTGTTACAGACTTCTCCTTTTAGAAACGAGAATTCTACAGTTTTATGGCAGCGGCAGGGGCATCAGTGCTGTATAAAAACTCTGCTCTGAGGTTTCTGAACTAGAATGTTAATAATTACCCCACATTCGTAAGAGTCCTTATGCCTTGACCTAGCAGACTGAAGGAGAACAGGATAAAGAGGGGAAGATGTAAAGGATTTATTAGCAGAAGTTCTGTGAAGTTACATCAAAAAGGGAAACAAATTTTGTCAACATAAAGATAAGGAAAATCAGCATGATTATGGCTCTAGTTACAGAAAGAATGTTGGGGCAGGTGGTTAGGTCACAGAATAACATCTTTTGCCCCCTTTTAACTCAGAAGAGTAGCTTAACTATTTTACACGTCATCCCAAATTATGATGGACGGTTCATAACATCCCAGCATGCTATAAGAGAATAGCTAAAGGGACAAGCTCTTTTAAGTTTCATATAAAAATTCACTGGAGGCAGCCAAGGAACAAAACTTACAAATGGAATTTCACAAGAAACTGGAAATTTTTACAAGTGAACTGTATTTGTGGTTACATGCCAATAGAGGAAACCCAATCCTGTGCATCACAAGAAGCGGGAAGAAGTTGCTTCTCCTACATGTACAATGACCACTATGTAACTGGGTGACGCTGCACTGTTACAAACTGTTCACAGATGAGACAGGTAGCAAGAAAGAAAATAAAGAGCTCTCCTGCACTTGACCGAGGGCTATGATTTCACTCACTCCTCTGACCTCTTTCCTTGCTAGCCAAAGGAGGTTTTAGGACCTGGGAACCCAAACAATGGAAAGGTCAATTCCTGAGCTATAGTGCCATAAATATTTTATTTGAAAGTCAAAGTTGAGTCGATTGCTTTATATCTACACTAAAAACTGATACGATTTAAATGAATAAAATAGAGAGAAAATAATACATATATCTTAAGCCAGTAAATTTCCACATTAAGTGGGGCTGTGACTTAAGTTTTCTATACAACTGACTCAAAATACAAATGCTTCTTGATAGAAGTCTTATCCAGGACACGTCATTTTGCCAGTGCGGATGACAGAATCTCAAAGACAAACAAGGGCCTTAAGGCTCTTTTCCCCCACCTAACTCTTTGTTTGACACTTGAGAACCCACCAGGGCTCAGTTTAAGTTGCCAGCCCAGAGCTGGGACCTAGGCTCCTCGGTGGTCAGTGCTGTTCTCACCGAGCCAAGGAATGACAGTCCCCACTCCCCACTGTGTGGCGATGCAGGACTGCAGCGAGCAGACTTAGAAGCTGTGCAGCTGGCACCAGGACCAAGCAGTTTATGGAGAAACTTGGTTCTAACTTCTGACCCTTTTAGTGTAGGATGGAAATGTGCTGATGGACACATGCAGCCATAAAATAAAGCAAGCATCATGGTCCCATTATTTGTACAAAGAATTACCTTTCTCAATTTTAATGTAAATCAGCTTCTCTGAAATTCTAAGCATCTGTTCCTGGCAATACACCAGTAGAAAACAAGGTCCATGGTTATATAATCCCTTTATGCTTATTCATGGAAAAAATGAATGTCTCTTCGCCACTGTAAAACCCTGAGACTAATATTACAACTCATAGTCATAGTTGAGGTGTTCATTTCTATCAAAAAGCTTTCATTTCCCCCTTTCCATAACAGTGATAATCTATATTATTCATTTAGTTCTAACTGGGTAACCAACACCACACTCTAAGCTAAGTGTCGGAACCTTATGTTTCTACTGAGCAAGGAGACCCCTGCACTTCAGTTTTTGGATAACTGGTCCTGACCCATTTAAGGCTGACAAAATTCCCTCATTTTGAAAGGGTTCAGCAATATGTGGTTCTAATCAACCATTACATTAATACCTTAAAACCAGGACGTACATTTTGGTTAATGCAGTGAGTGCTGCTCTGATGAATCTGTAATTAAAATTACTTCAGCACGGAGACTGGGTGCGGACAAAGGCCCCAGTATGAGGAGCGTGTGCAGGAGAGCCCGCGTCGCGCACAGATGGGGCCAGAGACAATGCCTCCGTCTGGTGAGCTGAACTCACCACAAAGCAGTTCCATGCACTGGCGAACAAATACCCATTGTTGGTGGTGCCAACAGATAATTTTATGAAATTCATCATTACAAAGCCTATAGGTAAAATTTTAGCAGAAGCCAAAGATCTACGGATAGGCTCCGTGAAACTGGCCAAAGGCAGGCATGCATTTTAGATGAAGAGGAAACTGGGTTCTTGATTCTTTTTTGCACTCACAGACTAAGGAAAAAGTAACACCTAACACTACTCCTAATTCCACTTACGCCCTCTGGATTCCTGCTGATGCCACAGATCATTCAGCCCAACCTTGGGCTTGCTCCGCTCTCTTTCTCAAGTTGTCACCTATGCTTCCTTACTCATGTTCCTTCTAAAGGGAAACATGAGCCCACAATGACATTCTTCAACCCTGTAACCTCTGACTCTTAAGCCTCAATCACTTTTTCCCCTGGGGTTTCCTGCTTTAGGAGAATATTACTGGGCAATTTAAGACAACGGGTCCTCCCCGCAGTCTTCACACATGGCCCTATGCTGCACCGAGTAGACCCAGAACCTCACGGACACTGCCTGAGGACACTCTCTAGTCAGATCAGCATGTCATGAATTGAATTGGCTAAAGCAAGATCATCCGAAATTGTACAGGAGCCTCTTTAGAGCAAGAGCTGGTCCCTTTGTGCCTTTCTCACAGTAACCTCACCAACCTTCCCACTAAAATGAACCATGGGGATCGGTCGTAAAACGGGTCATGCCCGTCACTGAAGAGATCCGATCCCTCCTCCGTCCCTGCGTCAGAGCCGGTGTCATCCACGAATGCCTCATCATCAAAATCCTCCATCTCATCTTGCTGCTCGTCAGCCAGCTCAGTGATGTCGGAATCGGCCGTGGAAAAAGTGGGGGAGGGCGTGCGGTCGGCAAGGCGCTCATTCACACAGCCATGGAAAATGGGGGAGCTAGACGCCGGGGAAGACGCCAATCGACACAGCCGAGGAGAGAGGAATAGTTGGTTAAACAGGAAGCTACGGGTGCCAACAGCACAGAATCCACTAGGGAATCAACACAGTAAAAGCAAGTGAAAAGCAAAAGGATAAAATAAGCATAAGTCATCTGATTCAGGTAAAAGGGAACAAGGATTGATCCTTAGAATAAAAAAGCCAAAGAAACGCATGAGTAGAATATTCCAGGTAAACAATGTGCCCTGAAAGGTTTATATTCTCTGGTTTGTACAAAAGATCAGCAGCCAGGCCTCAAAGGAGACACTCGATATTAAGTACAATAATGTCTCAATTTTCACTCCAATTCCCGTGTCATCTAGAGGCAGAAAACAAAATGCATGAACTGGAATGTGGCAAGGCAAGGATGTACCTTGCGTGGGCAAACCTGTTCGGCCAATTCACCTCTGTGAAAACATGCCATTATCACAGCAGAGTGAAAAAGACTTCATCTTGTTTCAAAATGCTATGACTGTAGCCCTTCCTTTTTCACCCGGGTCCTTTAAGACTGTCAGGAATATCTTGCAATTGAAAAACAATTTAACTTCTGAAATCATTAAGCACAAAACTTACATTTCTCTGCTTTTTAAATTCTAAACCTCTAAGAACTTGCCTCAATATGGACTGACAGGGCACTATTTACTTTCATTAAATGTTGAAATATGTATACAAAAAAGAGGCTCAAAAGGACTAGCCAGGTGTGCAACTAATTCACTCCAGCAAAGAATAAAGTGAGATTAATTGCTTTAAAAAAAAGTGAGGACATTTCAGATCCTAGAGAGGGTGCAGTCTGATAAGGTGTAAGTCATACTGCGATATTAAACTGTAGGATACAGACACAGGTTTTCTTTTTCTTTTGAATCTATCTTGTTCAACTCTAAGACATTTTGTGAATGAGTTGAGAGTCTGGGAAGATTGTCAATTACTTTGAAAGTTTGTGACTTACAACAAATACGCATGTTGAAAAAAACCTGAAGGGAAATATACCAAACGACAGAGTAGTTGAGTAGGACTGCAACAGATTGTAAATGGGGCGGCTGGATATGCCTTTTCTTTTATTTCTGTAAAATTTGCTGAAGTTCCAAAGAATTAAAATAAAAGCATTCATTATGTAAGAAGAACATGTCAAATGAAATCATCACATACCTCCCTACGAGCTTGAACCAATGGAACCGATCATAAAACGGATCGCTGCCCGTCAGAGTGGTCTCGCTCTCCTCTTGCGCGCTGGAGGCCATCTCCCCCGCCCGGTCATACATCTCCCGCATCAAATCCAGCCTCTGCCTACCGAGCAAACAGAAGTGCACTGGGTTAATATCGCAAGATAGCACTGACATTTCGCTTTGGAAGTATGTTCCATGCAAAAAGAAAGAGCTGTTCCCATCACTTAATGATATTAAATAAATGCGAGGCTAAAAGCACAGAAACCAAAACAGTACCCAAAGTGTTTGAGTGTAGAGATTAGCCTCCAAAAGTCAAGAAGGGCCACCTAACCTCTACTGAGTCCTAGGAGAAATGTTGCTCAATGGTGTACCTCAAATATACTGAACCAGTGAGAAGTATCTCATCATACTAAAAGCAGAGGAAGCTGCTTTATAACTTTCCTGTTTATCACTGGTCATCCCGAGATCCAGGACAGGAAAGATCAAAATTACTAGATCTAAGACATAAATAGGTATCATAAAATTGGAACACTTATAAGAGTCCCTGAAGGGTAAATATAGGTCCTATCTACAAATGACAAAGGTGTGTTTGCCAAGTGGGATTCACTCACTTAGAAGAAAACGGACGGAGAGTAATGTCAGTGGCCAGCGACAGCATTTAGAAGCACAAACAAGGAAGCAGTAGCAACAACTCAGAGAGCAGAGTGTGAGGGACCACCCCCTCGAGCCCATTACTATTTCCTAAATAAAACAGCTGGCTTTGTGAGTAACATTTCATACTTGAGTTTCTCCAATGACCAGTAATGTGTTGCTCCGTTCTTCAGATCCTGGACTTCCACTGCCACCACGGTGCGAGGGAAAGGCCTGTCTATGTGAGTTTTTTCCATCTCAGTGGGAAGTAGTTCAGGAGGTAAAGGGGAATACAACGTGTCCGTCAGCAGCACAAACTGAAACTGCACCTAAACAGAGAGAACAAACCGGAGCTATATGGCCTGTTTTCAGCATGTAAGCTTCAGAGACAAGGCGGTATCATCATGCCCAGTGGAAAAGAAGTCAAACATACAGTATATGTTCGACAAAGAGTTTGTGATTAACAGATGATAAACATATTTTTTGAAGATTTTATTTATTTTTAGAGATGGGAAGGGAGGGAGAAATAGAGAGAGAGAAGCACATCAATGTGTGGTTGCCTCTCACGCTCCCCCTACTGGGGACCTGGCCCGAAACCCAGGCATGTGTCCTGACTGGGAATTGAACCAGCGACCCGTTGGTTCTCAGGCCAGCACTCCATCCACTGAGCCACACCAGCCAGGGTGAGAAGCATATTTCTACCAACACGCTTCTCCAGCTCATCAGGACTACAGTCTCCTTATTTATAAAATAAGGTGGACAACATGTTATTTTAAAAATTTCACTTAACAATCATGGAATTAGTTGTAATTAGTACCTCTTATATTCCAGGCACATATATGAAATAAGGGCACATATAAACCTATTTCAGAGCGAACAGCAGCTGAGTTCCCCCAAGGGAAAGGTTACTTCAGGAGGAGCGCCAGAGCGCCCCGAAGCTCAGCTCAGCCTCTGGACGGCCCCCGCCCTCCCTCTCTTCATACCTTCTTCTTCAGCTCCACGCTGACGGCGTTGGCCTCCTTCAGGTACACAGCGTTGCCCCAGAGCAAGTCCCTCAGTGAAGTGAACTGGTGAGACTTCCACTTTCGGAAGGCCCACTGGGCCAGCTCAAATTCATGTTGTGTCCAAGGAACTGCAAGAGCAACGGAGTGTGTTTAACGGTGGCCTCACGGCTACGCGGAAACTGTATCCTCCTCCACCTCCTCTCTTTTAGCAAGTAAGGGACCTCCCAGCTTTCCTCTAGTCAGCTGTTTCTGTTTTTCTTATTTTTAGTAAAGCGTACTAAATTCTGTTGAAATTATGAAAGCAGTTATGATATACATTTCAGAAAACTTCTTAAAAATCCTACTATTGTAAAACAGTAAATCAAAGAAATCGATTTCTCTTTTTTAAAAAAGTAACCTCAAATGTGTGGATTATAATGTAAACAAACCCCAAGTATATACACAATGCTACATAATCTGCTTTTTTTTCTGGTACAAGGGTAAAAGGTCGTATTTCACCTACATATTTAAAAATAAAGAATTCACTACATAAATTAAGAGTTGCTTCAAAGTTAACTTGGAGCCTGAAATTTCTGAGAGGTTGAGTGGAAAAGTAAAATGTGACAAATGTTTACACTGTACTATAAGGCAATAACAACTAGCAGAGCCTTAGTTCAGCTAAGAATTAAGAGAGGTCCATTTAATATACACTGATACATTCCAAAGTCCTCACCGGAAAACCTGGACACAAGCCACAAACCAGAAAACAGAACAGGACAATAAACAAAGACTAAGCTCTGCGTTTACGTGCAATATACACATACGATCTTCATGTGGACATTAATATTGGAGAGTGTAAGTGAATTGCCCAAGAGATTTACATGAAGACTACACTCAGAAACCTTGTGTTCTGAGGACCACACTCCCACTCCAACCTCACAGAATACAGCCTGGATTCTCAGCACTGAGCATCCTCAGAAAACCATCTTCAAATTGGCACAGTAAAATGTCAATAAATCGTAGGGTCAACTATGGTCACAGATAAAGGATGAATTTGATAATACGGATCCAAAAGATATACACAGGAAAGTGTCAGCCACTAGTTCACCTTCTTCTTCCTCTTCTTCCTCTTCCGTTGTCTCCGCAGCCAAGGATCGAGTCTCCACCTGCTTCTGCAAGGCCTGCAATTTACTCTCATAGTCCTGAAGGAAGAGAAAGGAAACAGCATGTAGGAGAGAGGAGACAAGCGGGAAGGAAAAGGGAAGGAATGCTGGGGAGAGTGGAGATAGCAAAAGAAAATAAAAGAGAACATAGAGGCAGGAAACAATAAGAAGGGAGACATAAAGGTAAAGACTTAGGGGAAAACCCCACAAAGCACACACGATAGTCTGTAATATGTAAATGCTTAAAAAAAAAAGTTAACTGCAGTCTCTCCTTTCCAGATCCAAGAAGAGTTCTCTATGTGGTGTTGGGGCAGAGAAAGGGGGGATTTGGGGGGGGAATGCATGTGGCCCTTAAATGCTGTAGTACATTTAAGTAGTACCTTGACACATCAAGCAATTCCAGAGAAAAGCAATGCTGGGAAAGAGTAAATCCACAAGTATCTAGCTGTTTGGATGAGAAAAAATTAGGACTGTTGATTCTGAACTCCCTTCCATATGGATGAAATATTACTATCTTGGCAGCTGTAGAATGAGCTTAGCCTTCAGGCAAGCAAAAGATCACAGCACTATTAGCATTTACTTAGTATTTTAAAATATACTATTATAATACAAAATGTATTGTTATAATACAAATCAGTTTTATCCTTCATTTCTCCATCTACTCCATGCATTCTCAATGAGGGTATAGCCCCAAAGAAAGTAAAAAATCATGCTTGAGAGATTTAAAAAAATGTACTCTTTTTATATGTAAAACACAAACATACATGCAGTATGCAAATAGGTATACCACATATTTGAGATATTAAAATTACATGGTGGGGAGAGATTGAGAGAAAATATCTGAAAATGTTCCTTGTAGTATTAGTGAAAAAAAGCTGTTAAAAAAAATAAAACACATAAAGTTAAGAAAAGAGACCTTGGCATAGCAAAATACCAAATCACAACATAAGCATAGCATTTTAAAATATACTGCCCAGCCCTAGCTGCTGTGGCTCATGTGGTTGGAGCATCATCCCATGGACCAAAAGGTCACGAGTTCAATTCCCAGTCGAGGCACATGCCTAGGTTGTGGGTTCAGTCTCCGTGTTGTCAGAGAGTGTATGAGACACAACTGATCGATGTTTCTCTCTCACATTAATGTTTCTCTCCCTGTCTTCCTCTCTTTCTAAAGTCAGTGAGTATGTCCTTGGGTGAGGATTAGAGTAAAAAGGAGGAGTATCAACATATTTATACTTCAGAAGACATTTTAAAAATATATACACAGGACTGAATGATGAACCATTTCAAAACACATAAGGAGGTCTTTTTTTTTTTTAAGATTTTATTTATTTTTCAGAGAGGGGAAAGGAGGGAGAAAGAGGGGAAGAGGAACATCAATGTGTGGATGCCTTTCACACACCCCCTCCCAGGGACCTGGCCCGCAACCCAGGCATGTGCCCTAGACCAAGAATGGAACCAGCGACCCTTTGATTCGCAGGCCAGAACTCAACCACTGAGCCACACCAGCCAGGGCAGGAATTCTTCTTAAATAGTATCAATACACTATCAAAATTACAGGTAATCTGTTTAAAAAGTTTATTTTCTAAGTATTCCTAGCACCTAGATCTTGGTTTCTAAATACCATTCCCCCTAAAAGGAACCACCATTCCCTGGGGAAAATTACTAATGACAGGTTTGGAACAAGGAAGGTACAGGGGAGCCTGGAATACCTCGTACCAGAAAACACTGAGTATTCAAAGACCAATGGGGTCATTTCAAAAGGACACAGATTCCCATTGCCTAATAAGAATAACAGAAAAAGAATATAGCCCATTCTTAGTATGAAAAGACTCCACAAGTCCACATGGAAAGAAGGGGGAGAAAACAAGAGAAAGCTCTTGTTAACCGAGAGGGAGAGAGAGAGAGAGAAAGAGAGACAGTGCGAGCTCGTGAGCCAGTCAATAAATGCAGAGGGAATGACAATTAGAAAATCACTATACTGCACCCCAGACGTAGTAATCGAATCAGGCAAGGGCCATTAATAAATGTTAAAACAACGGAGTGAAAGGTGGATGGAAGACAGAATATTCACACAATCCCAAGTGTCACTCTAGATACCTATTAAAAAGAAAAAGAAGCAGGAAGCATCACATTAGCTAAATTTATTAAACTCTAACGTTACCATTAATAGAACAAATTGACATGTTGTGTCTACCGAGGTGAGGCACACAGAAGTACACAATGCCACTGTTAGAGCATTCTTATAAAAAAATGTTAAATCTAAATCTAAATCTCGGGAAAACAAGCCATCTAATGAGAACGGAGCCTAGACTCTCCAAAAATAACAATGTAGGGCAAGATGGAGGCATAGGCAGATACACTTTGCCACCTCACACAATCAAAAGAAGGACAACAAATTTAAAAACAAAAAATAACCAGAACTGCCAGAGAATTGAACTGTACAGAAGTCCAACAACCAAGAAGTTAAAGAATGCAACAGTCATCCAGACCGGTAGGAAAGGCAGAGACAGGCAGCTGGGGCAGGGGGATTCACAGCACGGTGGTGGCTGGAGGGCAGGGGCAGGCAAGGTGGCAGCTGGCGGACCAGGCGGTCCCACATTTGCACGCAGATAAACCTGGAACCTGGAGGAGCAACTGGAGATCGAGACAGAATGCACAACCCAGGGTTCCCAAGAAATAAAGCCTCAAAACCTTTGGCTATAAAATCTGTGGGGGATGAGGCAGCAGGAGAAACTCCCAGCTTCACAGGAGAGTCTGTTGGGTCCTAGAACAAACACAAAACCACCAACCCAGGAATCAGCGCCAGAAGGGCCCAACTTGCTTGTGGGGGAAGTGACTGAAAGCTGGCCCAGAGATGAGCAAGTGGCATTGCTCCCTCTCTGACCCCTCCCCCACAGACAGCACCACAACACGGCCACATGGGTTGCCCCACCCTGGTGAATACCTAAGGCTCCATCCCTTACACCATAACAGGCATGCAGAGACAAAAAAATATGGCCCAAATGAAAGAACAGATTAAAGCTCCAAAAAAAAATACAATGAAGCAGTGAAAAGATAGCCAACCTATCAGATGCCGAGTTGAAAACATTAGTAATCAAGATGCTCACAGAAATGGTTGAGTATGGCCGCAAAATAGAGGAAGAAGTAAAGGCTACGCAAAGTGAATTAAAGAAAAATGTGCAGGTAACCAACAGTGAAGGGAAGGAAACCAGGACTCAAATCAATGGTTTGAAGCAGAAGGGAGAAATAAACATTCAACCAGAACAGACTGAAGAAACAAGAATAAAAAAATAATAATAATAATAATGAGGAGAGGCTAAGGAACCTCCAGGACGACTTTAAACGTTCCAACATCCAAATCATAAGGGTGCCAGGAGAAGAGGAAGAGCAAGAAATGGAAAACTTATTTGAAGACATAATGAAGGAGAACTTCCCCAATCTGGCAAAGGAAATAAATAGACTTCCAGGAAGTCCAGGAAGCTCAGAGAGTCCCCAAAAAGTTGGACCCAAGGAAGCACACACCAAGGAAGCACATCATCATTACATTACCAATGATTAAAGAGGAGAGAATCTTAAAAGCAGCGAAACAAAAGGAGACAGTTACCTACAAAAAAGTTCCCACAAGACTATCAGCTGATTTCTCAAAAGAAAGCTTGCAGGCAAGAAGGGGCTGGAAAGAAGTATTCCAGGTCATGAAAGGCAAGGACCTACATCCAAGATGACTCTATCCAGCAAAGCTATCATTTAAAATGGGAGGGCTGATAAAGTGCTTCCCAGATAAGGTCAAGTTAAAGGAATTCATCATCACCAAGCCCTTATTATATGAAATGGTAAAGGGATTTAGATCATCTAAGAAAAAGATGATCAAAAATATGAACAGTAAAATGACAACGAACTCACAAATATCAGCAACTGAACCTAAACAAACAAACAAACTCGGCAAACAACTAGAACAGGAACAGAATCACAGAAATGGAGATCACATGAAAGTTTTTCAGTGGGGAGTGGGGCGAATAGGGTGAAAGGTACAGGGAATAAGAAGCATAAATGGCAGGTACAAAATAGACAGGGGGAGGTTAAGAATAGTATGGGAAATGGAGAAGCCAAGGAACTTATATGTATGACCCACGGACATGAACTAAGGTGGGGCAATGCTGGTGGGAGGGAGGTACAGGGCGGAGGGGAATAAAGGGGAGGAAAAAAATGGGACAACTGTAATAGCATAATCAACAGAATATATTAAGAAATAAAAAACAAGTAAAACAAATTAAAAGAAGAAACATGAACACCAATGCAATATATAAACCTCGACCAGATCTTGGATTGTAATATACATACACACATGCACACACTTTAACACATATTTTTATAGAGAATTAGGAAAATTTGAAAATAAACTTGTGTATTGTATGATATTGAATCAATATTAATTTCCTGGATGGGACAATGATATCAAGGAAATACCTTTGATTTTAGGAGATATAGTTAGAAGTATTTAGGAGTAAACTGTCATGTCTTTCTTACTTTCAAATGATTCAGGAAAAATATATACATATGGATATACAAAGATTCACTATATTATACTTTTTCAGATTTGGGGTAGCTTTGAATTGTTTCAAAATAAAAGAGGGGACTCCCTAAAAAAACCTGTGTTATATGGGATTCTTCAAACAAAAAGAGAAAGACTATTTATTGGTTTACCTACAAATCATTAGTTGAAAAAAATGTTAGTGTCTTGAGGAACTTTTGTTTTTTATTTCCCCTCATTATTTTATTGTAGTAGATAAAGCACACATAACATAAAATGTACCATCTAACCATTTTTAAGTATACAGTTCAGTGGTATGAAATACTTTTGTAATGTTGTATAACCATCAACACCATCCATTCCAGAACTCTTTTCATCTTGTGAAACTGAAACTATACCCATCAAATACCGACTGTCCGCCCCCGGCACCCCACCCCACCCTTTCCCCCAGCAACCACTCTTCTACTTTCTGTCTATGATTCTGACCACTCTAAGTATATATTTTAACTAG